AGTTTCCACGTCTTCGCTTAACAGTACCAGATCATCAGCATAGCCCAGCACGGATGTTGTCTCACCCAGATCCAACCCTTTCTCAGTACGCATTACCTCCCTACAGGCATGTTCTAATGCCAATTGAGCAGGACAGGCGAAAGGGAATCCCCCTGTTTTAAACCCGAACGAACCTCAAATTTTTCGGACAGATTATTACCGATTCTACTAACTTTATTGAATGTCTCCGTCAAGCACATCCTGACTAGATTTACTATTTTTTTAGGAATCCTCTGCTCGATTAGAATATTATACAGTTTCTGGTGGTCAATAGAATCGTAAGCCTTTTTAAAATCTATATACAGCTGGTGAACAATACCGTTGTACTACAATTTTTTTTCTAATATTTGCCGTAAAGAAAATATTTGATCAATAGTCGAACGATTCCGTCTAAAGCCGCATTGGTAGTCTCCGATAATTTCCTCGGCGTATTCCGTGATTCGACTGGTTAAGATTAAAGTGAATATTTTATAACATACCGGAAGAAGTGAAATTCCTCGATAGTTATTACAATCCGTCCTCGTACCCTTTTTGTGAATCGGAATAAGAATAGATTCCTTCCATTCTTCAAGTAATTTCTCATTCACCCAGATCTTTTTAACCAACCGATGTATTATAGAAACTCCAGCTTCCCCGCATGCCTTCATTAGTTCAGTAGGAATATTATCGGTTCCCGCTGCTTTATAAGATTTTAATTTTCCGATAGCTAATTCAACTTCCTCTTTTCTCGGTCCTTCTATCAACGGTTCAGCACTCTGGTACTCAGAAGGAGGACACAGATCATAATTTCTCGTATTTAAAATATTGTCAAAGTGGTCCTTAAATTTATTAAATATGTCAACTGGATCAGTCAGAATATTGTTATTATCATCCCTAATTCCAGACGTTACGGGCCCTACACATTTACGTGATCTGTTTATACCTTTGTACATGTCTCTTACGTTATTTTCGATTCTATTAGTTTCTATTTCAATTATTTTATTTTTAAGATACTCCCTTTTTTTATTTTTGAGCAATTTTGTCGTTTCGTTCTTTGAGGTTCGGAAGTATTCCAGATTGTCTTCGCTAGGATTATTTAGAGCTTTTAATATGGCGGCTTTTCTTTTTTCGCATATGTTTAAGCAATCTTCATCAAACCACGGTTGGTTATTCTTATTTTCCTTTTTTTCAAGACACGAGTTAACGACCGCTTTAATATTATCCCTGATCTCTACCCATAACTTGTCAATATCCTCGTGGTCCTCGTCAGGAAGCTATAAAGCTTCAAACCTATTCTTAACATCTAACTCGAATTGGGTTCTAATTGATAGATTTTTTAATTTTTCCAAATTAAAATTCTCAACGTCGAAACAGTTTTCTTTTCTCTTTTTTATATTAAGTTTTTGTCGAAGTTTCGCAATTACCAATTCATGATCGAACCCACATTCTGCTCCGCGATAAGACCGTACATTAATTATACTGCTTTGCCAGCATAACATGATCGATTTGATTTCGTGTTTGCGAATCCGGTGATGTCCAAGTATATTTATGAATATCCTTATGTTTAAACGTAGTACTTTTAATTATCAGGTTTTTCGAGATGGCAAAGTTTATCAGACGGATCACATTATCATTACTATATTCGTGCAAACTTTCTTTACCAATCGTCGGAGTATAAACTTCTTCCCTTCCTACCTTTGCGTTCGCTTCACCTACAATTATTTTCATTTATTTTATAGTTTCTCGGTAGTTTATCATAAACCCATTCGAGTTTATCGTAAAATTCAATTTTGACTTCATCGTCACTGTCTTCGGTCGGACAATGTATGTTTATTATTGCGATTTTAAACCAACGTCCCTGAAATATAGCTACCGAAATTTATCACTAAAGAATTGTACATCCCTCAAAGCGGATAGTAATCTACTACTAATTAGAAACCCGGTTCCTAAACAATGATTCCCGCTTCCTCCGTACCAAATAGTGTACTTTCCTTCCCTCACTGAGCCCTCCCCTGGCCAGCGAACCTCTTGCAGAGCCACGACATCCAAATTGTACCCATTTACCTCATTCGCGACCGATTTTAGCCCCCCTGCTGTGTTTAAACTCCTTACGTTCCACGTACCAATATTTAAAACCCTGTATTTCAACTTGCGCCATGAATCCCCTAAAGCAGTCCCCACCCGGAGACCCGAACGGGGGACTAGTTTATCTCCGGATAATGAGCGTTTAACCTTAAGGAAATCCATGACTATTTGTGGTGTTTAATGAACTAAAGATATGTGAGTAGGGCGTTTGTTTGTTCTTCCCTACCTCGCCTTTTAGGCTATACGGGATTTTCCCTGGCCGGGGGGTGAGGGCGGGGAAATTTAAAATCCCCTCCGGCACCGGGACGCGAACTCGTACTTTTTATATCATCTCAAATCTCTGTTATTCGGTTGCCATGCAACTAGCGGTGCTGTTACACACGCTTTAGCCTATTCGGCCACCCCGCCCCCAAAAGGGCGTTCAATCTTACGTCAAACCCTCCAGCAAGCCTGGTGGGCCCTTACCTCCAGCAAGTCTGGAGGTCCCCTCCCTCCAGCAAGTCTGGAGGCCCCCTCTCATTGTTGGTCAGCGAGTGCATCGGACTTAGCCGGGAGGAACTTCCAAGGAATTTCCACCGACCATCCCCACATCCGCCACCCGTGGGACGCTCCCCATACGCGGTAATGAGCCCGCGCGAGGAATTATCGTTATATATATGAAAAAAAATCTTTCGGGCTGAAGCCCCCCCCAAAATTAAATCCTGGATCTGCTAGTGGAGAGGAGACATTAAAGGCAGAACACTAGTAGAAATCCTATTAGCTTAAAGATAAAGTCATAAGCACTAACTTCCTTTCTCTTCCCACATATATTTAAATTAAACTAATAGAATATTTTGTTTTTGAAATTATAATAGAACTTTACTTAATAAAAATAAACATATAGACTATATTTTTATATAAGAACTATATTTTTCTTTAAAAAATTGGTCAGGTTTATTTCCAATGATCCGAAAGTCTTCACTTAAATATTCCTCAAGATCAATTTTATGCATACCATCAATTTTTATAATTGACTTATACATTTTTCTTTAATGTGATGATAGCTCATACTTCAATACACAGTTAAATATATATTTTTTTTATTTTAAACTTTTTTTTAATTTTATAATTTATTAATTGTCTAACGCTACTTTTACATTATTTTTTTATATATTTTAATTTTATTTTTGGTACGTTTAGTTTCATCATTTTTTTATTCCTTATTTGAACCTTTTTTTATTACTAACCAATTTCTGATAATGCTTGATATGGAAACATTTCTCAACGCATGATAGTTTTATTGCATATACGTCAATTTAAAATTCAATTTTAACTTTAACATTTTAAAACACTACAAACCGCTGTTAGTTTTAGAGCTAAACTGTATTAAAAATACTAGAAAAAGTGAAAAAGGGATGGAATCAGGTATAGGAGGGTTGAGGTTAGACCCCTCACCTTAAAGGATATCAACAATTAAATAATACATCTCAGGTTATCTAGTGGTTCCAGCAACAACCTTTGACTCATAAGGTACCCAGTAGAGAGCTCTGTAAGGAACCAGAATATTGGTTTTGCACAACCAAATGATAAAAAACTAAAGCCAATATATTGGTTCTACACACTGGTATCATGGCGGCCAGAGCCATTATTCTGGCTTTGAGCATCTAAAGGGTTAATGTGAAACCAAAACATGACTAATTATTATACACATATCTGAAAATTGTAAATAACATATAATTATCATGGCTAAACCATGAATGTCTAATTTAATATATGACCACAATGTTATGTTTTATTTATAATTTGTTTTACCCTTGTTTTTCCCCTTTCCTGAATAAAGTCCCCTTTCTAAAATTAGTCCAAGGCTAATAAAATTATTTTTCATTTTATTTACAATTTAAATACACATACAAAATCTAATATGTAAAATTAAAAATACTTTTCCTTTCCAATTTAAACATCCTTGATACTTATAATATCCATAACTTTTATACATTGGAACTAAAAATAAAAATTTCAATCAGTTAAAAATAAAAATGTTTTAGTCTGTATAAAGATGGTTTGAGAAGAGGAAAAGGATCAGTCAAGGAATCAATTCACCACAATAATTGAATCATTGCGAATCTTTCCAGTAAAAAGAATCGAAATTACTAACTCTAGTTTACACACTTGAAATGAATTAAAAAAACAAAAAGAAAGATGTGCTGGCAAGAATAGTGATAAATATACTAACTGTTAGCAATCTAGAGTACATACATATTATAATAAAAAACGGAATAATATTTAATTTGGTTTATAACTATTTCCACAAAAAAATTTTGTAATCTAAATTTGAGAAATGACAATTTGAAAAAAAATAAAAAATAGTTAATCATTAGAAAAATAAAGAATTTTAATACCTATAAAGTCGCTATTCTTTTGAAAAAAGATATGTGAACCGTTAGTGAAAATCAAATTGTAAAAACAACAAACATTACAATACAATGCTGAATATTTGCTCTTAATATGTGTTTGATTGATAACTTTGTGTTTAAATATACAGCTATTATAGAGAGAAGAGATAGTTCTTAACCGCCTGAGGGTTGACCATTGTTGATTTACGCATGGATATCTGATGAAGAAGGAAGAACTGCCAACATGTTCGTATTGCAGGTGTATTCTAACAATGCTTCACATACAAAGTATATGGCTCACGACTCAATACAGATTTTCCACAAACCCAGAACGAATATTGAGACAGAGCCCAAACACGACATCATGACTTATTAAATTTTTAAAAACTATCAACATATATAATAAAATTAAAAAAAAAAAAAACTTCAAGTGACTTCAGTGTAAATGACCCCAGTGATCGAAACACTCAAAATAAATAAATAAATTGAAAATTTACAATTATTAATATAAATATTCTAAGGTGACTAAACATGACCGACTAGTCAGTTTATAACTAAATTATCATTGCCTCGGCAGGGATAAGGAATATCATAATAAAATAAAATTTTGAAAACTGTTTCTACTAGCATCTCTTTATATTTTGTTATAATAGTTTACACAAAATACTTACATATTTTATTATAAAAATATCCCTAAATCTGATTCTCATTAATTACACATATTGATTGACGATTCATAGTTGACTTACAGACAATTTACTTGTTGAATAAAAAAAATAGTTTAAATTAGGTTAAACAAAGTTATTTAAAATATTTCGCCAATCAATTAGTAAATACTGTCAAGATATTAGGTATTATAACAAATAATTATAGACCAACTTGATGGTCTATTAACTAGCAAATTACAAAAGAAAGGTAACAATTAATATCACAATTGTGATTTCTGTCTCTCTAACAGTACCAATGGCAGTAGTAAAATAAAAACACTTAGGAAAATAAAACATTTAATAGAATTGATAAGGAATAATTTACTGAGTAAATAGGAAAAAATAAAGTTTCTCAGATTAGTTATAATTTTAGAATTAAATTATTTCAGTTAATTCAATTAAAGATAAAATTATCACTAAAAAAAAATATAGATGCGGAATAAATTAAAAACAACTTTAACAGGTTCTATAAAATAATTATAACGAATCAATTTTCGACAATATCATACAATTTTACAAAATTTACATGGTTTTACAAACTCACTAAGTGAATATATTAATATTTACTTAGGAATTAATTTATACATTAACAATTTAAATTAATTGGATATCACATTTTCTCAACACAACTTAAAAATTATCAAAGGAACGTATAACCTATGAATAGAAAAAAAATAAGTATTATTGTAGTGGCAGTGATTAGAATTAAACAAAGCCTGTCAAAATCTTTTCAGAAATAACTATCTAAGATATCTTAAAACAAAAAATGACATCAACATCGACAGCTTTACAATGAATATGGTGCTAAGTAATTTAATTTTTAAATTGGAGTAAATTACTTTTGTTGTCAATTAAAACCTATTAGTATGTTTGTTCTTAAAAATTTTGTGAGCTATGTACCAAATGATTATGAAAGAACTTTGCTGCATTTGCTTTAATAAAACAACATAAGCTTAAGCTTTTCAAATCTTTAAATTAATGAAAAAAATCCTTTAAAATAAAATCAGTTTCTTTGGTATTATGAAATCAGTTATAAATGATTATTTTAAAGTTTTTTTCTTTTTAATTGAATAGAAAAAACATAAAAATAGCAATGATAATAATAAAATAAAATAAAAATAACAAACTGTTATTGTGAATAAAAGGTTCCATGATTAGTAATGACAAATATCTAAAAAATCTAAAAGATAAGATTATTTGATAATAAAAATAAATACAGTATGTCAAATATAAATGACTTATATCAAAAAATGAAAAATAAAACATTTTTTTATGTGATGTAAATATCACATTCATTTTTAATGTTAACAATAAATAATAAAATAAAAATTTAATGCATTTAAATGTATTAAAACAAAACAATTTAAAAATCTCAAATAAAATTGTATTTAACCCTTGTTTAAACATTCTATATACATATGTACAAAACAATATTCAGGTAATAATAGTCCCCTACTAAAAAAAAAAAAATTTACAATAAGCATAAAAAACTGGTTACAACTTTGAGGATTCATCAATTACATTAATGTCTTTACTATTAAATGACAACTTAGAAACCACTAAGAATCCAGACTGATATCCCATAGCTGTGTACAAGAAACTGTTCCTGTTAGTATTCCACGCAACCTAAGACAAACATAATTATTAATAAATTACAGAAAAAAACATAAATATAATATAATATATTATAAGTATTGATTGCAAAAAAAATAAACTATTAATGGACTTACTACAAGGCATTCCGTAAATAATGAGAAATACTTAAAGAGGTTGTGGTAGATATCAAATGCTACAAAAAAGTTTATATTTGTTTATACATTCTAATTCCATGCAGAAAAGCAACAGATCTAAGCATCCTTTTTTTTAAGTAACAATTTTTGTTGAATAGAAAACAACAACTAAAAATTTTCATTAAGGAATAGTGAATTTTGTCTTTCTTAAAAACCATCTGAAGGATGCTTTTGCTTTCTTACAACTAAATCACATGATGAAGTTATTCAGTTATTCAACTGAAGGGTTCAGAGGTATTTAGTATCTTTATATCTCAACTTTTTATTGTTTAAAAAAAAAATGAAAAAATCTGAGTCATGTTGACTCAAGAAATTTAAACGTTTTCACCATTAATGCTTTGTTTTTTCCACAATCTCTACCAATTTTTCTTATGTTACATTGCTGCAGTTAAACCTTTAAAAACTTTATCGTTCTTGTTTTAAGTAAACAATATTTTAAGAATTTGACAGAAAAAAATGGAATAAGCTAAAAAATAATAAAAATAAGTACCTTCTAGAACAAATGAAATAGGAAAACTTTTTTTCAAAATTTAATCCTATAAAGCTCTAAAACATGTCTCCATTCAGACAGAAATAAACCAAATCTTCTTAACCTCTTTAGGTATATATTTCACATTACAATGTAAAAATAATAATTCATATGACTATCTGAGATCGTTTTAGCAGAAATATATCTTACCGTTCACTAAGAGTAATGCAAATATAAAGTTTTTAAAATAAGCAATGCTTTCAAAAACTGTACCTCTAATAGCATAATAATGGGCCCATAATAATGAGCTCAGATATTGGAGAAAGCAGGAAAGTTAAAACAAATAAATATCTGATTGCTAGATCTTAATATTAATAAGCTGTGGCTCTGATATGTTATAATACTAGATCTTTATAAACAAAAAATGCAAAAAGTTTAAATAAATCAATAAGTGATTATGCAACAATAAAATTGGTAGTGTTTTTGAAAACTATACCTCCGATAAGATAACTCTTATAATGAAAAAATCCAAAATATTATTGAAAATTATACCTCAGATAACTGATTGTGCTATAATAAAATCAGTAATATTTTTTTAAAACTACACCTTCAATAAAAATAAATCGGGTGTAATAATCTATATTAGCTTAATAATCTAGGCTTATTGAGCATAATAATCTAGCAATTTATCACACTAAATCCCTATCCTACTCCTCCGATAAAAAAAAACCAAAACATTGAGATGGCTGGTTTTTAAATTCTATGACTAATATATCTAGACCCTATTAATAATAGAAATCTTGTAAAAATACTATGTATGTATACCCTGTTTATAGAAGAAAGTGGATAGATGTCATTAACGTTTTCAGAACCTTTCTCTTGAAACTTATCAAACTTTCCAATCACGGGGTCCTGTAAATAAAAATAAAATAAGATGAAAAATCATTAACAGTCTTAAAATATAAGAACCTCAGGATGTGCATGCCTTATTTGTAGATTTCAAAGCAGTCTTTGATTGTGTGGCCAGTAACGGTCTTTGGAAGATCATGACTGAGCTGGGAATGTAATGGAATGGGAGTACCTGAAGTCTTTAAATTCGAACTGATTTCAGAGGGGAAGATGGACTTTCGTCGATGCTATTCGACTTGACCCTAGAGGAGGTGATAAGGACAACATTGCATAAAAATGTGTTGGTGCATGTTGGAATAAATCATAAATTCCTTCGGTATAGAGGTGATACAGCTGCCATTGGAAGCCATCAAGAGGACATTGAGAGATCTATTAAGACTCAGATATGAAAAGCTGAATAAATCGGCAAACAAGTAAATGCAGATAAAACAGAATACATGACAGTAGGCCAAGAATTTTATCGCAACAGGATCTGTGTAGAAGGAAAATCATTCCCTCTCGAGTTCTCCAAGGAAAATCTACAATACAACCTCAATGGATGGCCAACAGTCAGAAATAGATTAGATTATAAGAAACAAAAACTTAAAAAAAATTTTCCACTAGCAAAAGAACAAGTTGGTAACAATCGAGCAGATGGCTCTGATGCGAATATTCGGTGTGTTAAGGACAATGTCACATGAGGAAGTGCATGAGGAGTACTTCCTCTTGCGAGAAGAAAAGTTTAGGCATCAAATGATTTGGTGGATCTACCACTTGATCAATGTTTGAACACTCCATAAAACAATTCAATGACTATGGAGATATAAAAAAAATGCTATAGCCATGAGAATCACCCAAATAACTCTTCTGGGTACAAGTTTTACTTTAACAGCATCAAAGCCAGGAGTAACAGAGAATCAACTGTGTTAAAAAAACAGTAAATATATATTTTCCGAATTAAATCAATTTTAAAAACCTTTTGATAGTCTAAATATGACAATATCAGTTCCAGAACATAATAAATTTCTTTCATAAATTTTTATTTCAAAATAAATATATTTATAAAGAGTTTTCAGTCAAGTTATTTTTTTTAGGTTATTTCAAATCATAACATTTAATAGACAAAAAAGAAAGATTAGATTAATACTAATTTTTTTTTTAAACTAAATCTTCACTGAACTTTTAAGAACAACATATACTAAACTAATAACATATACTAACTAAATAACATATATCATATTTAGATAAAACTACCAATTTGAATATAATTCAATTCTTTTGAGATTACAATACCAAACAAATAGATTATTATTTTTCATAAAACATGCTTAATATACAATATTAAAAATTGATTATTGTTAAAAATATTCTTTATGATAGATCTCAAACATTTTTTTCTAAAAAGAACAGTAAATAAAAAGTTTATTTATATTTTAAATCAAAATCAGATGCAACTTACAGTTTTAATAGACAAGCCATATTTATGAATAGCATCCCCATAAGAATTGGAGGGCATATTATTATGTATTTCCTTCTCTTTTTGTTTTGAATTTGGCTCAACTGAACCATCTTTTGCTTCAATATTATGCAGCGTACTATTCAATATAACCTGAAAAGTAATTTTTAATGTTAGTGAAATAGAAATATTTGTATTTAAATATTTAATACAAAAAGAGCAACCACAAAGCAAAAGCCTTTATGTGTATTAAGTAAAAATATTTAGAAGATGGATGAAACTAAGTTTACTAAGCTATGTATGAGATTTTCTGATCAATTTTTATTGCCTTCTCAGGGACAAATATATAATGTTTTAAGCAATATTTTTGTTTTGAATTTCCAGAAAAGTAAATGGTTAAGATTAATCGGAAAAGCTGAAAATTTGTTTATTCCTTTTCATAGAACTGTTTCATTTACAAATTTCTTTCTCAAATGTGCTATCTTGTTAATAATATATATATTTTTTTTAGATCTGTCAGCCTCAATTTACTTTCATCTTACAGATACCTATATTGTTTATTAGTATAAATATGTGAACAAACTCATACATATTTATCTATATATTTTACATACAGCATATATGTTACATATATGTATTTTTATGCTTTCCACCTTTGGCTTAAGGCTGCTTTGTTAATAGTTTTGCACTCCTCTGATCTATGAAGGATGCTAATTTGGGGGAGCAGTGTTCCTTCCTTGGAAAATTGGTCTGCAATTTTATTCCCCACAACCTCACAGTGCCTTGTAATTCATTTTAGAACCACCTCTTGGTACTAAGCTTTTAGACCTTCCAGCTTCTCAGCCAATGTGCCAGTGAACTCTTCCATTTATTTTTTAGGCATTCAAGAACGGATGCTGCATCTGTCATGAATACAATACATGACATCTCTTATGACCCTTTAGGATCTTGGGTGCAGTCAGAATGGAGTCATGCTTAGCTCTATAGTTCGTTGAGATGAGTCCAGCGGGAAGCCCTTTTTGGAGATGTGTCCATTAGGAAATTCAATATAAATGTCTCCTCCTCCGTTTGTAATGGTATTTTCAGCAGACCCATCTGTATATAGCCTCGTCCATTTATTCTTAGGATAGGCCCAGTTAATGTGCTCTAGAGTGCACGCTTTCAGAGGTATGTTTGTATTGATTTACAAACTGATCCTTTCTGTCCAAGGCGAGGAGCCTTCAGCAAGCTTCACGGCTTCTGCTGTGATATTACTTTGGGGATGCTTATCAATTAGTTGAGCAGTTTCATATAGAGGAATTTCACGCTTTATCAGAGTGTGATTTCTCTTTCCAGCTCTCTCTTTTAGGGGGGTGGTTTGGAATACAGTTTGCTTTTATTCTTACGTTAAGGAGTTTGATGTCTCTCCTATCTTCCATTTTTTACAGACCATTGAGTGTTTCCATTGCTTTAATGGGTGTGGACTTAAGACCTCCAGTAACAATCTTAAGCCCTTGATTCTGGACAACTGTGATTTTTTGGAAGTTTGAGGGTGTAGCACTCCCCCAACTTATGATTCCATATTCTATCACAGGTCTTCTACTTCCAGTGTATGAGGAATGCGATAGGCTCCCCAATTCGATCCTGCCAGCTTCCTCAGTAGTGCAGTTCAGTTTACTGCATTAAGGACAAATCTGTCTATTTTACAAAGGAAGGAGATGGTCCGGACCACGGAACCCCGGACCATCTCCTTCCTTTATAATGCAACGGTCAACCATTAAATATTCAATCTGTCTATTTTACTCTTCCAAGTGAGTCTTTTGCCAACTTTTACTCCTAGATATACCGGGAAGTCATCCTTGGTGAGGCGTTGATTGCCTGATTTCAGATTAAGGGTAATCGTGATACTTGTGGACAGACTGAATATCGTGCAGTGTGTCTTATTGTATTTATTTTGAGTGCCCATTTTCCTGTCCATGAAAAGATTGCATTCAGTGCAGTTTGAATTCTGTATATGGCTGTTATTATTGAAGTGGATTAACAACAAATTGCTATATTATCTGTATAAACTAATAGTTTTACATTTTTAGCCATTTCTTCTTTATATCATTTACATAAATCAAAAATAGAGTTTGTGAGAGAACACCGCCTTGTGGGACCCCATTCTTTGTTGAATTGATTCTACTTTTTAAACATCTGAAGTGAACACTAGCTTTTTGTTGTTGCAGATAGGTTATACCCATATTTGCAGCCTTTAAGAGTAGGCCTTCTGTCCAGACCTTGTCACATGCCTTCTCCATGTCCACACATACAGTCAGAGTATGTTCCTGCTCTTGAGATCCATCTTCTATTTCCTGTGTTATGTGGGCAACTTGGTCTTCCATGGATCTGAATATTTGAAAGCCTGCTTGCTCTGTCATGAGAAGATTGTTTTTCCCAGAAGCCATATGATCCAGTTATTAACTAGTCTCTCCAGGAGCTTGCAAAAGCAACTTAGAAGCGTGATTGGTCTAAAGTTAACTAAGTCATTCTTAAGTTTTCCTGGTTTTAGGATTGGAATCACAGCTCCCTCTTTCCAAGTACTGGGTATTATTCCCTCTTTCCAGCTGGTATTAAATAATTTGAGGAAGCGTTTCTTTCCTTTAGCTCCAAGGTTTGTTATGAGTTTATTCATAATACCATCAGGACCTGGGAAGCTTTCAATTTTAACGTGTTTCTTGATATACATTTTAAATAAAGCTCAGAATTTTTCCAAAATATCCACTTTTACATGTTGTTAATTTAAACATTGTTTTTAAATTTTTGTGGTTAACAATAAATTATTTTTTAATATTAGTATATTTATTTCCTTTGAAATTTTTAACCCAGCCATAACTTTCTTTATGGTGATTAATTGTTTTAAATGAATATGTTATAAAGTCTACAATGTTTACTCTCATTTCCTGATATATGAAAATATCTAAGAAAGAATAAAAAACATGAAAATATTTCTATTTCAAGGTAGGATGGTAAGAGAAAGAAGTATAATGACACCACACCAGATTTTTTTTTTTTTTTTTTTTTGTTACATGATATTCTCCCCGCTAGTGCTAATAAATAATCACGTCCTACAGAAAATTATGTTACTATTTGGTCACTGACCAGTATACCACGCAATGGGCCCACCATTATGATTTTAATATAGATCAACAATTAATAAATGATAATTTAAATTATTACACTTTTTCTAAACAAACCTTTGAGAATTTCCGCTTATCCAAGTGCTGATAAGTAGTCTGCCTTAGAGCTAGGAAAAGCACTACCTGACCATTATCATATGATGTTATCGCACCATTCAACCAGTCATTAACTGCCACACTCTGCATGAGGAAACCAAATTCATTAATAGGTAAACGAGGTTTGAAAATTTCTAGAATTATAATAGTAAATAAAGTTATAAAATATGTATACGAACCCATGCAGTAGAGTTAATACTGGTTATTAAAGGAGTTGTAGGATTAACAAAGCCTCTTACTGAACTTAAAGAGACTGTTGTCTGCAGCATCCTGAAATTATTGATTAAAATAAAATATTGACAATTGTAATAATTAATATAGAAATAAAAAACAGATCATGTGATATAAAAAAAGAATTAATATTGATTTTTCAAATCAAAATGCTAATGTAATTTTACCATTATTTTTTACATTTACAAATTAACAAATTTATGAAATTCCCGTCATTAAGTAGACGTTTCTTGGCACATATAATTTTGGAGGAAATTTCATATTGGGTGTTATAATATAAAAACATAAATTAAAAAATTATGTTAAAGTTACTTATATTTTTTAAAATTATTCCAAGATTTTTCCAATGGAAAAATCTGTAATTAACTAATACCTTTTAGTATCTAATACCTGTAATTAATTGAGTAATCTCATGTAAAAGGTATACCTCCATCATTCTAATCACTACTATTAGTACGAAAGGTTATACATAACAATTTTTTATATTAAATATCTGGTGTGTCCACTCACACGACTTTCCTACCTATTTCAGAATTGTTTTTATATATTATATATGTTTTTATATATTCATGAAGAACAAAAAAAAATTTAATTAGATTTATTTTCCTGAAAATTGTTCAAAGAAAAGGTTTGAGTACGATTTATTTGATTAAGGGAGATCCCCAGGCTTAAGGGAGATCAGTGTAAATATTTCAATTCTCTCTAATATTGCTGATCAAAAACGTTTCGCCAAAGCTTAGTAATGTCAAACAATAATTTATATTAAAAGTAAAGGAAATAGTGAGGCTTATGTGATGCGGGCAACAGATTTTCTTACTTTCACTTTTAATATATTATTTTCTCTGATCTTTATTCACTCATTCACTCCTTTCTGACACCAGGATATGAACCCGTAATCTTAAATTGGAAATTGAATAGCTGTAACTTCGTTAATAGTTGTCCAAAATGAATGATTTTTATATAGTTTTGTAGGGAATTTCATTACCTTTCAAAAAACATGCTAAACAATTGAAAGGACAATTATTAGAACATTATAGAAAAGTTTCATTAAAACTGTTAGAGCCGTTTTCACGCTACAGTCTATAGAAAAACATGTTATTCATTTATTGCGCGCAAGCTATTGCGCATGGAGCACCGAATTTCTGTCACAGGCATCAGTAGTCAAAACCCTACAAAACAAAAAAATAAGCAACAAAATCGGTTCAGTAGTTCCCGAGAAAATCTGGGCACAGACAGACAGACCAATGGCTAAAAATGTGTTTTTCGGCCTCAGGGGGCTCTGAAACATATAGATCCGTCGAAAGTTGCATATAGGAAATTTGACCCGATTGCAATACTTTCCTTACCTCGTATAGGTAGGATAGTAAAAAACTCAATTTTTACACAATACCTTTTGCAATAACAGTAGTGATATGCTATTAATAACAAAGTGAAACTTCATTTCATAATAGCCAATTTAAATATGGTGAATCAACTAATAATATACCATAAAATAAGAAATGATTTCTTCAAAATTCACTTAACTAAAATCACTCAATATTATCAACTATAAATTGAAGTATTTTAATAATTGAACTATAAATCCAATTTCTATGAGATAAAAAATTAATTTTTTTTTAAGAACCTTATATTATCATCTTAACGATAATTATTCAAATATAAGATTCTCATACAAGGCATAAATAAAGAGAGCAGGGTAGCTCACTGGATAGGGTACTCGCTTTCCAAGCTAGTGTAAGCTAGGGTACTAGCTTCAAATCAATGAGTTCCTGAATCGAGTCTGGCTGATGATAGGTAATTATTTATTCTGTTCCATCAGCCATGGATCAATCCTGAGGTCGGAAGACCCTCCTGGAGCACACCCAGCCTCAATAAAGTGGGTACTCAATAATAGACAAACACGCAAAACTCTGACTATTATTGGCATATAGGAGGGTTATCCTACACGTTATCAACCTATTCTAACCAGAGTAGGATGGTTGAGATTCATTCCTTGGGTCTGCCAAAAAATAAATTTCAACCGGTCTAGATTGGATTCAAACCGGTGCCACTACAGTCAAGATAGCTAATTACTTAATATTCTCGGCCATCACAGTCTTGTATCAGATATATACTTATGTATATAGCTACGACTATTATATATATTTTTCATGACCAACAATGATTCTCTATCATAAGAGCGAATTTGCTCTCAAGTCCTCTAGCTTATAAAATTCCCTAACTTCCAGTGTTTTTTTCATAAAACCACTGGCACTTCAAGATTTCCCAAAAACTTCCTCATCTTTCCAGGTAATCCAAGTTTTCCGGGTCCAGTAGAAACCCTGTTAATATTTTGAATTTGAAAATTGTATTTTCTCATGCAAACAAAAATAATAAAAGGTTTAATTTTTATCAAACATGAAATGTTGAAAATAAACTAGTACAATTTGATTTTATAAATTCTTTTCAAATTTATCCTCTCCAAATCTCTCAATAGCAGCAAAAATACTTTTCCTTTTTATTTAAATAAATCTGTTAATAGGTGTATTATACATAGAAGTTTCATTGAATAAGATAACTCTTTACCTATTAATGAACTAAACTTAAAGACTACAATCAGTCTGGCCTTAGCCTTCAAACAGATAGCATCGGTGTTCGTGTTTAATTTCTAGTTGTGCTATTACAGTTCAGTTCACCGTCACTAAAATATTTAAAGTGCTGTTAATGTTAATTGCGTTGGCGATTAATATAATCTTTTGAACTAAATCATCAATATCTAAAAACAATACAAGGTAAGAAAACAATTTAAAATTGTTGTGATATAGCCGAGCGTAAGATAAGGCGCTTAACCCCACTACGGCTACCTCTCCCCACCATTTCTACCGGTATCTACTCTATTATCATTACCCAGTTAATCAGCTGCTCACGATGACTCTATGTCCTAAATGCGATAATATCATTGCCAGAGAGGATAAAACAACATTTGTTTGCACAATGTGCAAATTAATATACCATAAAAAATGTATAAACGTCTCTGAAGACGACTTAACGCAGCAACAAAAAAAAAATTGGTTTTGTACATCATGTACAAAACCTCAAAGTAAACAGGGCACAGCAACCGTGGATGTGTCAGAAGAGAGCAATACCTCTATTTTGGCTGAGGTGAAAAAGATCGCCGGGGATATAAAGGAAGTTAAAGTCTCACTCGGAAAGCAAAGTGATCTCGCATTCGAAAATAATGAGACTTAAAAAAATAGAAGAGATGGCATTGAAGCAGGAGAAAATAATAGAAAATTTACTCAGTGAGAATAAACAGTTAAAATCTCAAATTAGCAACCTGGAGGTGAGACTTAACCAAACAGAACAAGCTCAACTAGCCAACTCCCTGGAAATACGAGGTGTCACACCCGATGCTGGAGAAACTATCGAGGGCTTGGTTTGCTCTATCGGTGCAGCTCTGGGCATAAAGCTGGGTATTGAAGACCTGGATTTCGTGGAGGGGAAAAGGACCAGAAGAGAGGACCCTAGGCCACCGCCAATCGTCGTGCGGTTCGTCCGCCGGACGGTGCGTGACGAAGTCATCCGCTTGCGCAAGGTCAAGAGGGACTTTTCCACGCGGCATCTGGGCCGGAACAGCGACGAGAGAATTTATCTGGGCGAAGAAATGAGTCCAGGTAATAAGCATTTATACTGGTAGGCAAGGCAGAAGAGGGCGTCGGGTATGCTGAGATACGTATGGTTCGCTGGAGGAAAGGTACGATACAGAAGACAGGATGGATCCCCGGTCATCATCGTCAACAAAAAGGAAGACATTGAACTGGTCATTGGAATGAAATAGGTCTCACGATTCCCTCCAACCTCTTTTTTACGAATATCTTTTAGTTTATTTTTATTTTTTAAATATGTTATTGGTCTTTTTGTTTCTATAGTTCATAATAATTTATTCTATTGCTTATTAAGTATTTTTTTTAAAGATGAAATTTTCTTATTTTACTTCGAATCAGATTTTAATTTTTTCTATGCTTACCTTCATCTAAAGACTTCAAGTAAGATCTATATCAATATAATGTACATAATTTGTTACTATATCGCATTATGTAAATTTAAAAATGTGCCTATTCCATCAATATTAAAACCACTTTGTCACACTCCACAGATTATCCTTACCCTGACCTCTTCATGACCAATACCTTAATATCCTGTCACGTTAACTCCCAATCCCTTCTAGCACATTATGACGAATTCCTCGATTATTTTCACCATAACTTCCATCATATCATAGCCGTTTCAGAAACTTGGCTCAAGCCTGATATTCCCTCCCTATCCGTTTCCTTATCCGATTATACCCTCTTCCGTCATGATTGAATGGGGTGAACAGGTGGAGGTGTGGGATTGTTCGTACATGACAGTTTGACGGCCAAAGTCCTTCTAAAATCTCCTCCTTCAGACGTCCCTAACATAGAATATCTGTTTGCCCAGGTTTCCTTTAGTACCTTTCCACTACTCTTTATCGTTATTTACCGACCTCCTCGTGTCCGATTCGATCCCACTCTCGAATCCTCCCTCCTTACATATATTCCTCTCTACGAAAATATTATTATCGCTGGTGATCTCAACACCAACCTCTTTTCAAACACTCCAGACAGAACATATCTTACCGACCTAGTTTTTTCCTTAGATCTATTTATTGTACCCTTTCTACCCACCCATCACACCCAATCCACTGATACTTGGCTAGATTTATTTATTATTGATTCCCCACATAACCTATTATCCTCTACGCAAATTCCAGTTCCCTTCCTTTCATCCCACGATCTTATTGAAATAACATACAACTTCTCTACTCCTTTACCTAAACCCAAACAAATTTCCTGGAGAGATCTAGATTCCTTAACCACTGAAAACATCAGCCCCTTCCTCGATTCTCTTTCCACTTGCTCAGAACCCATCTATTCTCTCCCCTCCATCGATGATATGGTTGAATGCCTTTCCTCCAACCTCCTCGATTTTCTCAATTGTCACGCACCTCTAAAAACACGTGTCTTTAGACGTCCTCCCGCTCCTTGGATCAATACAGAAATAGAACTAATGAAGAAAAAAAGAGAACTAACGAGGAGAAGAGAAACTGCTAGAAGATGATACAGACGTACTAGACTAACTGAGCATTATTCCACATTTAAATCCCTACGAAATCTCACACAAATGACCCTATGTCGCGCCAAAGCCCAATACTTCAATAATGTTTTATCCCAAGAACCTAACCCTAAATTTAAATGGAAAATCCTTAAGAACCTCTCTGTTGTTACCTCGAAAACCTGCACACAGTATCCAATCGATCCCAACACGCTAAATTCTTTTTTCACTAACCATTTTCTATCCACATCTCCATCTGTCCATTTTCTATCCGCTCATCTTTTTCCATTACCGAAACCTCCTTTGATCCTGATAAGTTTTACTTTCTCGACATCTCTCCTACTGACCTGCTTTCTGCCACCCTTAAATCCAAAACGAATGATTATGGTCCTGACCAAATACCTGTTAAAGTTATCAAACTCTGCCTTCCAGCTTTACTACCCGCACTTCTACACATATATAATTTCTCTCTCCAAAATTCCATTTTTCCCAAATCCTGGAAAAGAGCCATAGTCCGTCCACTAAACAAAGTTTCAACTCCTTCATCAGCTTCCGACTTCAGACCCATCTCCATCCTATCCAATCTATCCAAGCCTCTAGAAAGATTAGTTAACTCTCAGTTGAACAGCTTTCTCGAGCAAAACCATCGCCTCAATCCCTTACAATCTGGTTTCCGATCCCAGTATTCCACCCAGTCTACCTTGCTAAGGATTACTCAAGACCTCCAATCCGCCATAGATAAACAGAAAATCTCCATCCTAATTCTTTTTGACTTTTCCAAGGAGTTTGATTCCGTTAATCATGAGATCCTTCTTTCTAAACTCCAAGGCCTGCCCATGTCAAACAGCGTCCTAAAATGGTTCCTATCCTTCTTATCCAATCGATCTCAGACAGTCACAATACCGAATAAATCTCCATCATCATCACTTCAATTAACGCGAGGTGTTCCTCAGGGTTCCTCACTCTCCCCGACCCTTTTCTCCATCTATATTAGTGACCTTCCTAACGCCATTCAACACTCCAATTACCACCTCTATGCCGATGATTTACAAATATACCAATCATTCCAACCTTCTGAGATGCCTGAGGCTGCCCGGAGGCTACAAGAGGACATCGACTGCATTAACAGATGGGCAGAAATAAATGAATTAAAGCTGAATGCAGATAAAACCAAGGCTATTATCATCGGGTCCAAAAATCTCATCAGCTCCCTTCCTTACTCTCCTCTACTTTACCTCAATAACCATCCCATCCATTTTTTCCCTACAGTCAAAAACCTAGGAGTAACCTTTGACCAGAACCTCTCCTGGGATAATCATATCCCCCAGATTACCCGAAAATCCATAACTGCCCTTAAACAACTCCTAAGATTCCGTGATTGTATCCTCTAAAAACCAGACAGCTCCTTGTAACCTCCCTTGGATTCCCCCACTTCGACTACGGCTGCTTGATGTATGGAGGGCTATCTGCCAGGCTGGAATTGAGACTTAAAAGACTCATGAATTGTTTCATTAGATTCATTTTCGGGATCCCCAGACGTTCACATGTTTCACTATGGTACACCGAATTGAAGTGGCTTTATCCTACTTCCCGACGACAATTCCTTTTTGGCGTTTTTCTTTCCCAAGTCTTCAGAACTAAAAACCCTCCCTACATCCTGGAACTCCTTACTCTGCGCTCCTCTATCCACTCTCTCAATACTAGGTCTCAACCTATAGACTTATATATTATCTCCCATAAAAATTCCTTCTTTAGCAAATCCTTCGTCATTCATGCTGCTTCCTTATAGAACTCACTTCCTACCCCTACACATCAATCCTCATCCACAAATTCCTTCAAACAACTCCTGTTCCAACACCTACTCCACATTCAAACTTCCCCTAACATGTAAAATTACTTGCATCTATACATGTTTAATTTCAATCCATTGCACAATTGAAATAAGAATTAACAATAAATTAGTTGGTATTTTTATTATGTCAGACTAAGATACATAAATTTGTAACTCTGTTATTATTCTTAGGGGACAGTAGTCCCAGAATAAAATTATTTTTTCATTTCATTTCATTCATTTCAATTATAAAGAAATAAAGTTAAAAAGTAAATAACAATAAATAGTAAATATTATCTTACGTATAAGCATTATCATATGTTGTAACTACAGACATCCAATGTCTTAACCAATCAACACTGGTAAATAGGCCACGCTTGAGAACTGTATGAGGAGCTGTAGTGTCAATGAGATCCCAATACTTAAAACTCTTATCGTATGAAGCTGTTGCCAAATACTTATCACTTTCAGGACTTAAGCAAACTCCTGGTAAAGAAATATAACCAAGTATAAATTTTATTGAATAGAAAATTATTTAAATAAAACAGAATAAATTATTATAAAGAGTTAAAATAAAAAGGTCAAGTGGATGAACATGATAACTTAAATATTTACAGTTCTGAGAAATTGAAATTAATGTTTGGCAGGAGCACATTTTTTTTATTGATATCTAATTTTAAACAGTAGTTTGAATTGTAAAAGAAATTTCAACTTTTTATAGAAAAAAAAAAAAAAAAATATATATATATATATATATACTAGTTCTATAATTGACCTTATTTTAATGGAATTTATGCAATGAGAGACGTCTGATGAATTAAGATTTTTATTAGAAAATGTAATCTTGAAAATATATCAGTCGTACCTATTAATAATATATTTAAACCTTGTGATAGATTTTTATAATATGATTTTTACATTACCCTTTTCATTTCCTACTTCTTTATTTAAAATATTGTTTTGTATTTTTATTTGTACTGAAATTCCAAAGTTTTTGAATTATGTTTATTGGATAAAATTTTTCCAAAAACACTTTATAAATTTCTGTTTTTATTTTATTGATTATATATTCATCTATTATTTTTATTACTTTATTTATATTTTCCTCAATAATGTTAATTTTCATGTGATGATTTGAATGATAAGTTAACATATCACTAGTAATTACTTTTGTAGTGCATTCTTTAATCAGTTTCCATTTCCTTTACTAATTTGTATGTTCAAAAATGTTTTTCTGATATTCTGAGATTATAATCTAGCTTATAAATACCCACAGACAGGCACCTAAACAGTGTTATGGAGAAGTCAAACTAAATTGATATAGTGTATAAAGAATTTTTTGTTTAAAAAACCACTGACTGTAAAAAGATAAAAAACATAATTACAATGAAATTAAGGAACAATTAAACAAACCAGTGATAATTGAATGATGGGCCTGAAACACTTTAAATGGATAAAGCATAATATTTTTCCGTTCAAGTTTTGTCTTTGTTTCTAGATTCCAAACAGCAACCATACCATTAACAAAACCAGCAGCTATTATACTGAAAAAAAAATTTCTTATTTAATCCGAAAATCCTTAAAAACAAGTTAAAGTAAATATACTAATATTAATAAATATAATTTGCAACATATTAATGCTCTTTAAATTATAAATCAATTATAATACAAAAAAAAAATTGTAACTTACTTATGTGGTTTAATTTTTGACCATGATATTGCACTGCACTGCCATCTTTCATTAGACCATAACTCCAATTTTAGAACAGGTTCAGGTTTGTAAAACCTTAAAATAAAATATTAAATTAAAAAAGACACTTAAAAAAAGGTTTGACAAAAGCATGAATACAAATGTGTAAACAACCCTAGAACGACACACTTAAAAACGTCATTCTGACACTCTGGGGTATCATAAAATTTAACTGTCATGCTCTGCAAGACTCAAACACTTTTCAGAAATAAGATAAAAAATCAGGAAAACAAATAAATAAATATTTTAACAAATTCAACCTTAGAGAATATACGTTATATCCTAACATAAAGTAAAAAGTTGACATTTACATAGCTAAATTCAAAAAAGGATCAATATGTTTCTATTGAAAATACATCAAGTTTATATCAATAAAAAATATGTATATTTGGAATGCAAAATAAATACATAATAAAGGAAAAAAATATTGGGGGCAATTTACATGACCACTCACTCCCAACAATCCGAGCAAACTGTCACCCTGTATCCATTGCAGATAGGTCTCTCACATTACTGACAGACCATTTTTGTCTTGATATCTTCCTCTCTCGTGGAAAATAAATATTTGACTAGTTGTTCCAACAGTAGTCGTTTCGTTATTGTCCGTTCGGTTAGTGTCTCCCCTTGCAGTCTTCTTTTCAAACAGGGCTCAAGTAACGAATAGCCTAATCCAAATAAATAATTTCTCCATTTCATCTTCTTTCCCCAGTTAACTAAGCTGAACAATATCATGCTGTTTATACCATCATGGTTCAACATACCAAAGAAAAATCGGAGAGACAGCCTCCTTTTTTTTTTGGCTGTTAACACACATGGCACATTTGATCAAAAGTTACTGTGTCATCTTAATTTAATATGCTCCATGCAATTTTTTTTATCTTCTAATTCCAATAACAATTTATGGATTTCTTCAGGAAAAGAAAACACTTTTTTGGTAGTCGCCATAATAATAGGCTAGGCATATTAGCAAAAAAATGGTGGCTCAGAAACAAGTTTTGATTTCCTCACCCTATATGTTTTTTGGGTTACTAAACACGAATTTGGATTTTGCTGGTAAAAACTTTACCCGAAACTTTGTTTTTTGGGAACTTATTGGCCAAATTTTTCAGTTTTTGGCCAATATCTCAAAAAGAAAGTGTTTTTTCGACAAAACCATTCAACACAAAATTAAAGTAGAGCAAATAGCCTACATTTCTTATAAAAAAACTTTTTTTTTTAAGACTAACCGTTTTGCCGCTAGATAAAGGCCTGAACTTCGGGCCGAAACATCAGAAAATGTAAAAATAAATAATATTATTTATTTTTGTCATTTTTTATTTGACTGATCACCCCAATAATTTTTAAATGTTTGATTTTTATTTTGTGTGTAGAATTTTTTGTACCAAATTTAAATAGTACATATTTTACCTTGTACTCTGATATTGAAGGCACTCAGGATTAGGCATAGCATAAATAGGAATAGAACCAGAGGTAGTAGCCAGTGCTAAGAGTCCTATCCTAGTATCAGTCCGGCCACCACTGGGACACCAGGCCATGTTCCAACAGGCTCTATCATTGTGGCAAACGCCATAACAGAACTGAAGTGTTGACAATGTATCACTCCTATGACATGAAATAATTAATATTACATTACAGTATATTTCATAATAATAATGTCTCAACCAAACTTATCATCATTGACAGAAAAAATATAATATATAAGATCATCATAATATATTGGAAAAACTAATAATAGGCCATAAGGAACATAAAAAAAAAATCAAATTAAAGTTACATATAGAGGTTGTTTCACTATTTCTGATTTGGTTTTAGATTTTTTTTTTATTCATGATATTTACAAGTATATTAAAAAATAAAAATACATCTAGTAAATGTGAACAAATGAATATGGTGACATAAAAACATATGTTGAGAAACTACCCACCCACTGGTAGCATTCTAAAAATATGTCTACATTAGAAGATCATGGGGCCATTTGTTCAGAAGTCTCAGACTGTTCGGATCATTTTTCAGTTTATTAAAGAAGGATGTGTCTGGATTGGACCAAATCAGAAACATAAGGAACATTAAGGTCGCTACGGATGATTTTATTCGTGAAAAAGTAAGGAGAATTGGCGATTTTATGAAGGATTTTGGATTGTAAAGATTGGATACGATAGCAATTCGATGGTTTAGTGGAATCCCATTCCATAGCTCAATTCTGTAAGTGCAAATAGGCCTTGTTATAGATATGTATATGAGACTTTTGTAATTAATTGGAAGCTTAGAGTGTTTGTCTATTGTGCTGGAGTAGTCAGAAACGCTGAGTGGTTTCTTGTCGTTTTAGTCTGGTATGAGGATTCCATACCACTAGAAAAGAATAGACGTTATCAGTTTTGTTTAACAGGAATAAGTGGGGTAATGTTCAAGGATACTGTAGGGTAGGAAGTCATAGGTTTATGACAAGGGGGGTTGTAGATAATAAATTTAATTATTAATTATACAAATACATACAAAATGACCATGATCAATAAATTGTAATTCTCACTTTGCATTGGAAATATCTTCAAGTGACCAGAGTTGCACTAGGCCTGGCCCAGTAAATGTAGACCCTGCTTGAAAGTTGAATTCCATCGACAGATGTGACGACACAGCCAAATACTGAGGACCTTCTCCTGGACACCATTCAAGACCCCAAACCGGCCCTCCGGTATAAGCTATACCCTGGTTTCCTAAATTATATTATAATATTATTAGCTGAAATTTTATACATGGACATTTGCCATCATAATAACCAAAATATAGCTAATTAAGATAACTGTAACTGATTCAAATTATAATATGTAAATGCAAACATCAGTTAGTACAACACTAACATAATATTCAACTAAACAAAAACAAATAAGTATTACTAAACAGATTTAATTTAATCACAGGGATTTATTTCAGTCATGCACCCAAATAACATTTTTATTCACAAAGGGGTCATATTCTGTCATTTTGTACAACTTTAGACATTCTAATTACACACAAAAAAATAGGTCTAAATATTATTTTTTTCACAATTTACTGTAGAAGACAAAATTGTAAAAATCCTCAATCACTTGTAATAGTGGTGTCTGACCATGATTAGTTTGCAAACATTAAAATGAGAAAAATAAATATAAATGACTCTAATAAATAGAATCTATAATCTAATATAATACACTCTACAGAAAAATAACATTACCTTCAATAACTTTTCCTTCCAGAGCATGCATGCTTTCCCAGGTAGAGTTTTGAAATGAAACCATCATTGAATTCGATTTCTCAGGATTATAAAACTGGCTCGTTAGAGGATCCATTTCTTTCCATAAATCAATATTTAAATGCAAATCAGGATACAATGGTTCCTGGGTAAAATACTTTTTATAACTGTAAAAAGAAAACAATCCAAAGTCAGCCACTTAGGTCTAAAGATATTTTCACTAAAAGTAACTACTAATATTTGCAACTACATAAATAAAAAGTGAAATATGATCCGTATAGTCCTAAAGCCCGTGACAAAATAGGTGTCATATTTCATACTAAGGTTTTTCCAAATAAATTGATCATATAAACAGGCCTGATGGGAAAAATGAATGTCTCGCAGCATATAGTTGCCTGTTGCCTGGGTTTAAGTTGCCTGGGCCAACTTAAATGGATTAAGGCTGAATGCTGCCAAAACTCAGGACATTCTCATTGGTTCCAAGCCCCTCCTTAGATCCCACACCAACTTTCCCTCACTCTATCTAAACAACCGTCTCATCACCTTCTACCCCTTTGTTAAAAATTTAGGCTTTTTCATAGATCAAACCCTTTCCTGGAATCACCATATCTCTCATATCTCCCGCCATGCAATTTCTACCCTCAAACTATTCCATTACTTCTGCCATCTTCATTATGATAAACCCTGTTAATAACTTCATAGCAATTCTTTTATTTTAAAGATTTATTCAAATCATTTGAACAGGTTTGTAGCTGATTTTATATATTAAAAAGGAAATAAAAAATCAGTTTAATTACTCTAAAGAAAATTTGATGATTAATTGATATTGAATAAATTGATCAAAACCTCTTTCGGAATCACCATATTTCTCATATCTCGCGACGGACAATTTCCACCCTCAAACTTTTCCATCGCTTCCGCCATCTCCTACCTCAACATACCCGTAGACTCCTAGTTTCCTCTCTCATCTTTTCCCACTTTGACTACAATTGTGTGGTGTATGATGGCCTCTCGGTGGAACTCCGTGATAGACTCAAAAGACTTATGAACAGCTTTGTAAGATTTGTAATTGGAACCCCGAGACGCTCCCGGGTCTCCCACCACTACACTGAGTTAGGGTGGCTCTTCCCTTCCTTAAGAAGACAATATTTCCTAGGCACTTTCCTTTATCAAATCAATACTGATCATCGTCCTTCTTATGCCTACAACCTTCTCCAATTTAAATCCTCAATCCATTCCCTCACTACAAGATCTCGACCCTCTGACCTATACATCCCTTCTCATAGATCTGCCTCATTCCATAACTCCTTTATAGTCCGCTCTGTCAACTTTTGGAATTCCCTCCCGATCAAAATTCAACATGCCCCTTCCCTATACACATTCAAAAACCTCCTATTCCAAAAACAGTTAGATACCAGCTAACTATTAATACTATATATGTATTGTGTAGCAATCATATAATCATAATACTTGGTGAGAGATAGTACATGCATTTCCTATTATCGACGTAGGAATTACAATACATAAATTTTTTTTTTATTCAATTATAATTAACTGTTTATTTACATATATATATATATATATATATATATTCAAGTAAAGTTTTTTTTTATGAAATGGACTCATTCTATCTCTTTTTCGTTCTTCATTTCTCAAAGTGTATGTTTATGTTGTTCAACCCTTATATATAGTTTTGTTCATAGTTCAAATGATTCATTCATAGTTTTAATTGTTTTGTTCATAGTTTTAAATGCTCTGTACATAGTTTTATCTGTATTGTAAATAGTTTGTGCACCTAAGGTTTTCTTTACTTTTTATTTTATTTTATCAATTTTGTTTCAAACTTTTAGGCCAGCAATATTCTATTATTTTGTACAATATTGTTATTCTAAAGGGACTTAATCGCAGAATAAAGTTTTTTTTTTCTATCTATCTATATTCGCTAGAATACAAAATGACAGCCATGTGCAGATAGAAGGTACCCTACATAGTTTGTAAGCATATATACAAAGGGAGAGCGGTACTTTTTGTCTAGCAAGCCGGACTGAAACCTCACTTCTTATCTATCTTATCTAACGTCACGTCACATAACCTCCCTCTTCTTATCCCACCAAACCTTTCAGTTATTGCATTGTTTAGTTTTCAGTTATTCCCTTATTACGTTCACTTATTAAATTCTTTACTTTTGGCCCGTTTGTGTTTATTTTTCATTATTTTTAGTTTTTGGCCCGTTTGTGTTTATTTTACATTTTTTTAGTTTGTGGCCCCGTTGTGTTTCTTTTCGTCATATTATGGATCTTCTTAGAATATGGAATTTGCCGCCTTCTGAAGAATAGGCACTTCAATATTTTTAAAATGTTGGGGTACTTGCCGACGTGAAATTGTGTGATCGAAGTCATCGAATGAAGTCAACCAGGAAGGCCAAATGGAGATGCTTTCGTAGGACTTATGACACAAAACTTTCAATAAGGAAAGGAACAGGGTTGGAGGGCTCGAGGATTTCGTTTTTAACAGCTTTAAAATTGATTTATGGATGGTCCCATAGCTTGACAATGATGAAGTGGAGCAAAGAGCAGCTGAAACTATCCTACTGAGCAATGGTAACGTGGAACAAATGTCTAAGAGAGGTTTGTGCCCATGACATGTTATACAGGCCAAGAAAAAAAAAATTGGAAGACCTGGCAAAGTGGTTGAAGTAAAAGAAAGTCTTTTTTCTAAACGAAAAAATCATGTGGGGAGAGTTTTATCTCAGCAGTGGATGTTTGGTGGAGTTTGCCGAGAAACAGACGAATGTTTTATCTTTTTATAAAACAGATTTTGTTTTATATTTTTTCTTTTCTATATAAATATGTTCTTTTAAATGTGTTTTTTTATTATTTCATTTTGATGTTTTATATGTACATATCTTCTTAAAGTGTTTTTTTTATTATTTCATTAATATATGCGTCGTCAAATAAAAGTATTTTTTTGTTATTACATTTGTTTTTGTATCTGTTTACACTTTCAATAATACGAATTTAATACAATAATACGAAGTAAAACAAGGCTTATCACTTCGTTCTGGGAGTTATCAGTGTTTAGGTTATAAACATTGGCAGATAGCAGTCAGTAGCGGCCCCCTAGACGAAAAGTACCGGTAGAGCTTAAAGGTATGTATACAAGACATGAAATAATAGTCAGTTATCCCATACCGGTGGATTTTAAGTCGAAAAATTGAGTTTGCAATTCAAAAAGTTTACTTTTTTCAGTTTTTCACTTATGTCAGTAAAATTATTAATAATAATGTGATATGTGAAATTAAAGCTGACAAAATTTGCAATAGAAATGGTCAAATTAGTTTTTTCGCTATATTCTATAGTTTCCATGATATTTGTCCTCGTAATTCACTAATTGAAATCCAATGGTATGGGGTAACTGACTATTATTTCTTGTTTTAAGACTGTAAACAATATAAATTGAAAAGGTTGGTAGCTTTAGATACCTAATAAGCTCTCTATATATTTATACAACTACAACCTATATAGGGTGTCTTCTATCTGCACATGGCTGCCATTTTGTATTTCAGAGACTATATGTTGACAGATGTGCAATTTTCTCATCAGGCCTGTGGATCAATTTATAAGAACAGACCTTAGTATAAAATACGACACCTTTTTTGCCACGGCCTCCTATACTATATGTAATAAGTAGAGTTAAAAAGATGAGATCTTTGATGCCATCAACCAATTGAAATGCAACAAGGCTTCGGGTGCTGATGGGCTCCCTGCAGAACTAACCAGGTGCGGTGAGAAAGATACAAAACAAGTGAAAATAAAATAAATAAATATTTTCACTTGTTTTGTATCTTTTGTAGCCCTAATGTAGACTTAAAAAGTGGGTCGAAATGTCGGCAAAAAAAAATTAAATAATACTATTTGTATAATTTAGTATTTATTTGATCCCCCTCCCCCATGATCAACTCCTCACTTACATAGTTTATAGTTCATTATTTTTGTTTACACGTTTGTTCTTTAATTTAAATTAATGCGTTCATAACTAGTTATATTTAATTATTCAGTGATTTTATGTACAATGATTTATAAAAATATATATTTTATATATCATTATTTCTATTATTATTTATTATATAAATCGTGCCATGCAACTGAAATATTTATGATGAAGCGCAAGTCACTCTAAATAGATTCTAGAATGTGCGATAAAAGGATTTCTTAGATGTAAGATGGACTTACTGTATTAAAAATCAAATACAATAATTATTATATGATTTTGTGGAAAAAATAATAATTGATTTTAAATTTTGATTTATACTATTTTTAAAATTTGTCAAATCAACAAACATTTATTTTTTACATTTGTGTATTTCCTTTAATATTTGGAACCCCTGACAATTATTTATAAGGTAATTAATTGTTTTAAATAAAGATTATACACTGCCTATAATTTTTACTTTTATTTCCCTACATACGCAAATAATTATTTCTATTCAAGGTAGAGTGGTAAGTGAACGTTGCTTTGCGCAAGCAACAGATTTTTAAACTTAAAATACATTTTCTCTTGTGATAAAACCTAAGTAAAATAATAAAATGTATATCAAAACAGATTTTAATAAGGAATGACTTTTCATCAAACAAATTCAAATTAAGCATACATTTATTAATATAAAAAAAAAAATTTATGATAAATTAGATGGCACACAAATCCATCTATCCTCTGAGGGAATCAAAAACAATGTTCACATTTCTGGGAATTACAACTCAGGAAGAAATTAATAACTAAAACTGATATTTGTTTCTTAATCAAAGATAAAATCGAACAACTTGCAGTGCATACTGGACTTTATACTTTAAGAAGAATCAATCCAATTATAAAATGTTTGAAATATGTATTTTAATAGAGAATAACAGCAATATGGCCTGGTGGGCCACACTCAACAACACCATTACAGTCTTGGAAACAGTTCTAGATATCAAAAAATTATATTTATCTAAACAAGTACTCACATTTCATTCATCCAAGTTAAAGCTGGTTTAAAGAACATTGCTTTATGTCGTCCAGTTGAATTCTGTTCTGCTGCCTTTAAATAAGGAATAATAACATGCTTTTCTGAAAAAAATAAACAATTACTCATTAAGTTAAATTATATTAGATTACTGATTACTTGAAAACTTATCATTTATGGCAAAAAAGATACCATGATCTTCATCTTCTGAGTTGTCGCTTTGAGACACCATAATAGGAGGATTACATGATTTGACATGTTCTCTCATTTCATCTTCTACTTTACAAATGTAATTGCACTTAATGCAACTAAAGCCCTGTAAAAGTGTTTACAATAATCCATAAATATCAGAATGGCAATGATAAGCTTAATTGAAATACAATGTTTTAAAACTTTAGTCTGTAAGGTGTTATCTTCTTTATTTAAATTTGCCTTGTGAAAACAATATTAGAACAAGGAAAAATGTAAAACAATCTAAGATCATTTTCAGAACAAATTGGATATTATATTAAAAATCTGGTGCGCGCAACACACAACTTTCACTTACTCTTTGAACTTTGAATAAAAATTATTTTCTGGCCATGTTAGGCTATTATAAAATGTTTTAAATTGCATTTTAAACTGAGCTAAAGCTAAAAAAACACAAATGCTATTAAAATAACAAAAGTCCTATTTATTATATCACCGGTTGATTATGAATTGTACGATTCGTTGATTATGGATTGTTCGATCCATTGATTATGGATTGTACGACTATAAGTCATTAAACTGTTATTTTCCATTGCAAAGTTTATTAAAACGAAATTAAGAGATTTGCAGTGTCTGTCATAGACAGGTTAAAAGTTGTCACACTAATTGTAAGTGGATTCTGTTGGAATATCGCAAAAAGAAGAATTATCAAACTATTCACCAATTTAATTTTCTAAAAGGTTACATGATGATTTTTCGGAATAAACGGATGATAGATATCTAAATATTTAAATATATTATGAGATCTAGAGTTATTAAACTACAGTAAATATATTTAGGGTTATAAAAGTATCTATGAAATATTTTTGTATTTCACTTCTTTTTTCACACAAGTACAATGAAATGGTAGAGGAATATCACAAAGAGAAGATCTATCGAATTATTCACTAATTTAGTTTTCTAAAAAGTTATATGACAATATTTTGGAATTAACTTTAATACCTAATTATTTATAGAGAAATACTTTATTAAAAGTAATGCTGCCCTACTACATAGTGTTGCTTCGTACACAGCATACTTATCAATCCATACGGACATTAATTTTATATTATATTTTTCTTTTTTTTTTCTCCCCCTTCATAACAATACTCTTACAAATTATCAACAATAAGCCATATTAAACAATAGACATAGCGTAATAAACACTTTCCCAAAATAAAAAAAAATTCCTTTTTTCTCTTTAAATTCTCAAACGCCAGGAACGCAATATAACATCGCACACATATATAACACAGCAATTCCTTTAATGTAGTCAAAAAGATAAGACGATTATGGACCAATTTAAAATTTAATAAATAATTACTAAACTACAGTAAATGTATTTAATATTATAAGATATAAGATGATTTATACATCCATGAAATGATTTTATATTTTATTTCTTCTTTCACACAAGTACACTGAAATAGTTTTTTTAACAATGCCATCAATTTGCTTAGATGGATTTTAAATACATTTAAAAAAAATTAGCATTACCTTATTAACACATTCAAAATTCAAAAACCGAAACAAAGGATATACCCATTGCAGCAGAACGTATTAAAAAAAAACTAGAGACCATATCTTATCTCCTAATTATCTGATTTTAACGATTTTATTTTTTTATTTTTTAGGCTATTCCATAAACTTTTAGAAAACCATATACAACATTCCCAAAAAAGTGTATACTTTTTGAGTTATTCGGAATTTAATTTTACCATCACTCGTAACTTTTTTTCAGCTTCTTTTCGCTGATGAATGTTATATAGATAAATTTGAAGGGTGTCGAGAAAATGGCTTTAGCGAAGTTTCAATGAAATCGGTACATTCGTTTAGGTCTATACTAAGTCGTACAATCTATAGCTACGTTTTTCTGCATTTTTATTTTTTTTTCTCCTTTATTAACTTATCAAATTCTTTCAAAAGTTATATTTAGCATTTTTTCGTAACTCTGAATAATGCGAAATAATTATCTTTTTAAAATAAACCATATTAAATGTACTTTAGAAGAAGACGTATATGAACATAGGGCATTTAAGCCCTGTAAAGTGACATCGATGGGGATACGACCTAATTTATATTAAAGACCACTTAATTATACAATGATACACCGAGTTTAATCAAAATCGTTAGAGCCGTTTTGAAACTGAAAATGTGTTTCAGCGTTGATATAAAGTGGCACTTCCGGTTAGCCGATTTTAAGGAAAAAGTTGCCGTCACAACTAAGGCATATACCTTCTTAAATACGTGATATCAGTTTCATAGGACTTTTCGTTTTTGAGCTAGACTGCTAACATACAAACACACAGACACACAGACCATTTGTCGGGACTTGGTCATTTCAACTCAGGGTACCTCAAAACATATAAATCCGTCGAAAACTAAGATTAAAAAATTTTCTCCATCGCAATACTTACACTTACTATATATTACATATATAGGTAAGTGAAAGTAAAAAGAAAATTATAATACATAATAAGAAGCATGAAAAGTAAAAAAATATAAATGTAGTTTATATTATTTTCTAACGCATTACAAAGTTTTATGACATAAGTAGCCAAAATTGAACAATAAAAAACAATTAACAAACAGAAAAAAATTAATATCGTAAGTAAAAACAATAAATTGAGGAGGTCAATCTCATAAATGATTTTCAAAATTTATTTAACCAATAATTAGGATCATTAAGCATGATAATAACATTTTAGTATACCTGGGAGCGATCAGCAGTACATAACCTATGATGCTGCACAATATCTTTTATTAGCATTGCTTTAAAGGTACAAGATGGCACAATACAATGGAGTTCTTTCTTATCCCTAGCAAGATGCTTCCATCTGTTCATCAAATGTTTATTGATTTTTTTTTTCTGCACAGGTATGTACAGCAAACTCTGAAAGAGAGGAAAAATATAGTTATAGTATAAAAAATGAAGTTCTAACTTTTAATAAAATAGAGCTGTAGCCTGCTATTTTATAGAAAATTAGGAAATACTGATACTCGGTTCGAGTATCAGGTACTTTAATCAATACTCGACTTGATGATTGACGAGTACAAAAATTACTCCGCTGTTCCCGTGAGTACTTTTCAAAGTAATCGAGTACTCCATTCCACAAAGTACAGGAGTAGAATATTTTATATTTCTTCAACATTTAAGTCCATTCTTATATTATAAGGGTTAAAGTTTTTAGAAAGACCATCAATAATTGAAGTAAATCAATAAATTATCGACTTAATAGAAATCGGATTTATGACAACTTATGTTCAATTTATAAATGTTGCTTTTTATGAAAATACAGTCGGATTTGAGAACGCGCAACCACACATCAAGTTTTTGTGACTTTTGGTATTTAATTGATATTAGGGTCCAGTAATATGTTCTCAGGGGCATTTTTTAAGAGAATGCTATCGCAATTGAGAATGCACAACCGCGCATCAAGTTTTTGTAACTTTTGGGATTTAATTAATATTAGGATCCACTAATATGCTGCAGGGGGCGCTTTTAATGAAAATATTGTCTGATTTGAGAACACAAAATTGCGCATTAAGTTTTTGTAACTTTTGTGATTTAATTGATATTCGGGTCGACTGTTATGTTGTTGGGGGGCATTTCTTATGAAAATATTGTCAGATTTGAGAATGAGCAACAGCGCATCAAGTTTTTGTAACTTTTGGGATTTAATTGATATTAGGATCAACTGTTATAATATTGGGGGTACTCATTCTCAAATCCTATTAAGTGGGTCTTACATAACTCCAATATGACGTTATTTAAGGAATTAAACGAAAATGTCTGTATTCATAATAATGATGTAGTTGAAAAATAAAAAATAGTCAAAGAAATTTTGCGTAGATCCTGTAATCGGTTATAACACCGCGAATACTTTCTGTGCTTAACTAATGTATGATTAATGCAGCTTGAGTTCTCTCAGTTCCCGGGACAAGTACAGAATCTACTTGCTCCTTTTAGACAATAAAAGTACTCAAATCATGAAAGTAATCGAGTACTGCCCACCTCTATTTTCAACTATTTTTTATCAAGAACATAAAACACATCAGGCCTGGATCTGTTAAATTCGTCTATGAATGAGTCTTTTCTTATTTCTCAAACTGAAAAATGTGAATAATTTGACTAAATACTTACAATTTCTTCTATTTCATCAAACTCTTCATCACCGTCAGCATTGAAATCTTCCTCCGATTTGGCCAAACCATTTTCTTCAATAATGCTCGCAATTTTTCCAAGGCACCTGAAATATAGTACATACGATTTTAAAATGCCATATTTCATGAACTTTGATAAAGACCACAAAAAGTAAAAACACCCAACCCAACCCCAACTGAGCAAAAAACTTTGACCACAAAAAACAAAAACCACTTTGCATCAAGTGTGCATTCTACACTATACACATTTAAAACTTTGAATATCCACTATGAGGTTACAGCAAAGGATAAAACAAACAAAGAAGTAATTTGATAGTTAAAGAAGGATAAAACATTTAACCCAAGTGAAAGTAATTATTTTTTCTTAAAAATGACAACTGTCATAAGAGCAAATTCTACTGAAAATGACCACCTGAGATCTTTCTGTACACCCCGAGCGAGTGTGATCTAACTAAAGCATTAAAACTGCTTAAATTTTTGTCTTTCTAATATAAACCAGTGTTAAACATAAAATTAATCTATCCAACAAAAATAAACATGGCCATAGTTCACCTAGCGTGTCAAGATAGCAAAAAGAAATGCTTTTTCTTTGATTTTGATGAAAACCCAAAAGTTATGAGTTTGAATTCCATTCTTGGGATTCTACAAAAAATAATAACGACAAATAAATAAGTAAATAATGAAACAAAAATAAATAAGTAATAAAATAAAATGTTGGTGCTACCCGAATATTCAGACTACTATGCAGGTTAGATTTCTGCATAGGGATAGTAATGCATCCACCCAGAGATTCACAGGGAGATGAGTAGTAGCCTCTGTGTATTACATCACACAGTTAATTGTGGAGGAGTGAACACCATAATTTAAAATATCCTGAAGTAAAAACCAAATTCCAACTTGACCTGAAGAATAAATTTAAACCTTTGGACTCAAAAGACCACATAGTATACCAACAGTGCAATAGAGAGAGGGCTAAAATAAACAGCTAAGGAATTAATAGATATTCAGGAGAAATGAAAAGCCAAGAATGTGTTTGCAATAGCATGCTGCAATGGAGAAAGGAAGAAAAATGAAAGTCCTCTGACTGGCCAAAACTGATCAACCTACTCTAGACAATATATAGCTACCAGGGAAAAGGCCAATAAAATTATAATGTTGTCAAAAAGAGAACTTTAACAAGGAAGGTTAAAAACTATAGAGAGCAACTGGTAGGGCTGGAGATATACATAGATGGGGAAAAATATGGATTGTCATTATCAAGATGCAATCAGATTGCTGACAGCTTGTATTCTCAGACAAACCACTTTTTCTTGTTTTGTTTGAGTTTTTGGAGTATCCTAATCCCTAATCTCTTTTTGGTTCAGGAAAAACTAATTTTTTAGGAGCCAGCACATACACAATAAACAAATGTTTGGATGAAATAATATGACCATTAAAATAAATCAATCCCATTATACAAGAATTATAAATTTGCAACTTTTTTTTTACTTTCTCATTATGATAGTAAAAATTAGTAAATTCTTCACCATAGTCATTAAATTTTATGAATCATAAAATTTATTTAAATGGCACAATTGAAGGCTTGAGAGAAAACCCACATTTTTTTTAATTGAGTTATTAATTAATGGATTAAAAACAAATATATATCAATCATAATGAAAAGTTGTATTCTTCAAGCGAGTCAGAATGTGAAAAAAAATATAGGACTATAAGCATTGACTTTATCTTTTTGCATACTTAATCCCTGGAAGAGTCCAACTTTTCATTCTGAACCAATTGAAACAATTAACTCTATTAAAAAAAAAAGAAAAGACGCCTGGATCATTCTCTCTGATCCTTCAAATATGATAAATATAAAAGAAAATCTATAATTCGCATCATAGTAGATTTGAAATAATGCCGATGCCAAGCATACAAACACTATATGTTCTATATTTTTAAACTGAAGTTATAAATCTATTAAGAGGTTTTGTTTGTTTTAACATTATAATATACATCATTTAGTTTGAGATGGACGAATCAACTACAGGTAACCAGCTCATCCTTTCTGAAGTGAAAATTCCATTGGTTGGTTATAAAATTAATTTTAAACAGATTTTCTCCCAGGTAGAAATTGTTTTGGAATGGTATTAGCTTTAAAATGTCACTAGCATAATTTTATTTAAATAATACACAAACTATCAAAATTATACAACATACTTTGCAGCAGCTTTTCGTACAGAGCCAGGGCCAGGGTCAGATGATTCCTCTGGTGGCGGAGGATCATTAGCAGTTCTATGACTTTGATATATATGAGGCTGTAAACTTACTGGCATCATAAGTCTTCCACAGTACGGACATGAGACCATCATACCAACTCTTTCCTGATGAAAAATAAGCAACATTAATGAATTAAAATAATTTAAATTATTTATTTCATAAGCAGTTTTTAAGACAGAAAACTTAAGGTGAAATAAGGAAAGACAACACAAAATTATCCTGGCAATGTTTCCTTAATACCAATACCAAACATTTTCAGTAATTATCTTGATAGTTCTTCATTTATATGGCAACAATCAATTTTAAAATAGGACTAGTGATGTTTTAACAGAATAATTGTAATTCATAGTAAAGAGGAAGTCATTTTTATTTATTTCCTGATCTTCTTATACAGTGTTAGGTCCTGTGTGGAGACAAGTCTTCTTGCAGCTTTGAACCCCAGTCATCCCTGTTCCACAATGCCACCTCCTAGTTCTGAACACTAAGCATGGTTTGGGCATTCTGCAAATTGACTTATGACTTGTGAGCCTAAATAAATGAATTCGTCCACTCTCTCAAAGGAATACATCCCAATACATTTGTATAGTTCTACTCCATAGGTAGCCCTGCAGCAGCCAGGGCCCAAAAATCGACCTGATCGCAGGCGACGGTTTGAATGAAAATTAGAATGTGTATAAGTAAGATGAACCTTGTCTGGCATTCCAGCGCTACTGCTTTAAAAAATGACAGCTGATTTAAAATATATTAGGCCAATAACTTGAGGATCGAGATGGGAAATCTATCCTGAAAAATGTTTAAAAAGTTGTTTTTTTTAGTCTGTTACATGCAGTATTATAAGCCTCTTTTCCACCTCTCAGCAGCGATGGATTTTGATAAACATGGGTTGGAAGATACCAAATTTCATAAAGAAATAATAAATCCTGATTTGAGATATATAATTCCTCTACAATAAAAATGTCAGAACTCAGTGAGTGAAAAATTTGATTCTATGGGTTTTTCCTCTCAGGGAACTCATTTACAAGTTACTGGGCCATTGATAGTAATTAGTCTCAGTTTTTGAAAAGTTTGGTGGAAATCAGTATTTGTTGACCGTGGTTTTATACCTTATCATGTAACCAAATTATTAAGTCTATGTATTCATTTGACACTCAATTTAAGAAAGAAAGAAAGTAAATTCTATTCTGGAACATTTAGTCCCCTCAGAATAATTACAATGAACAGAGAAATGAAAATTGTCTGGCGATTGTGAATAATTTAATGACAATTAAAAATAAATTAATTTACCAAGTTGTCTAATCTTAATATCAATAATAAAGAATCTGTAGTAAACATATGATCTTGAAGTAGACATATGAATTTAAAGATGATTACATACGGGTTCACGTATTTGTACAAATAAGCAATATGACACATACATAAATATCTGCAAGATATCGGTATAGTGTAACTGACATCTTTAAAGTACAAAAAACTTTATTTTACATATATTCAGAACATTGATCACTGAGGAGATGGAAAAATAAATTATGTTTAAATGAGGTCAAGGATGAGGATTTCTGTGAAGAGATTGGTAAGTTCGTTTAACGTTCTGTGATTTCTTAAAGAGTACATTTTTCGCTTTGATTTATTGTTGGACTCAGGCAACCTCAAAAAGTGTATTTCTGTCGAAATCTCGGAATCGAAAATTTTCACAATTGCAATACTTCCCCTTCGTATATATATATATATATATATATATATATATATATATATATATATATATATATATATATATATATATATATATATATATATATATATATATCATAAATACGTAAGTGTAAGTAAAAAATGATTTCACTGGAAACTAACTAAATAATACAATTTATCAAAACATGCAATTCTCAATACTGATTTCAATTTACCTCATCACTCTTTCCACAGAACTGTCGATGACTTAGAAGTCCTTTAGAGCTTTTTTTTTCCTGATGACACACTTCACATCTAAAGACGAAGTTGGGGTTAGCTCTTTTCCCTCGGAGAAGCAAAGTGTCCATTTTATCAAAATCATCAAGTGGCTGAAATTTATTATTTGAATCATTATTTGTAATTTAAATTCATTGTATTTTATGTTTAATGTCTTCATCAAAGTTGTTATGTTCTAACATTCCATAAAATTAAATTGGTACTTATATATTAAATAAAAAAATTAAGGCATATTATTCCACCCCTATTTTGAATGAATTTACATAAGGTTTTCCCTAATATGTTGCAATATTTTATATATTATGCCGTTTGTTGACTGAGACATCAATTTAAAAAAATAGTAATCATAAAAGTTCATCAATGCAGTTTTGCTTGAATATTCAGATACCTGAACAACATTTTGCAAAATTTGTCCATTATATTACTTAGGCACAATTTCAAATTTTTCCATTATAATGATATCACTAGTCATCACAACTGGCTAACTTTTTTCTAAACTAATTTACAATTTGAGACAAAACGATAAACCAAATGACTTTACAAGCTATCTTTTATTGGTCTAATTCTCCAAAAAGATTCTTCATTCTGATTCTACAGTATATACAATTTACTGCTAACATACTATATCTTACTTGGTAGGATATTTGTTTCAGGTAAGATATAAGATAAGTTATAGCATATAAACCTTCTTAAAATTAAGAGGAGGCTTTTTCTAGTTTTCTAGGTACTATATATGGAAAGTAAAACTATAACAAAAACCCTCTTTTACAAATTATTTGCCAAGTATTAATGGAAAAAATGAATTAATCAAACAAAAAACTAAATATTCCTGAAGCCTAGCTGGTTTGTAAGGAGGATTTCCGATTTATTCCTGGAAATGAAAAATCCAAGCATAATTTCCAATTAAAAAAAAAAATTAAAAAATCTAAGTCGGCTAGACATGCTGAGTGGATATTTTTTACGTTTGCCAATCTCTATTAATAAGCAAATAAATTATATAAAATGAAGGGCCTCTGAGCTTCATATCTTGGTTTGGGAGAATTTTTTTAAAATCGAGTACATTTTCCTTGGGAGAATATCTGAGGAAATACCAATCTGTCTTATGGAGCGAAGTACCAAAAACACTTTTATTCATTGATTTGTAGAAAACACGTTCCTTCATTTAAGGAATGACAATTGTCAATAATTTAACCTTGAAATATATATCTCTTAGGGCTTGGCATAAAAGAAATGGAAGCTAAAATTGGAAAAGCTTCTGTTGTCACCACAGTAAAATGCAGCCATTACTTACATACTTCCAGTCCAGTAGCCCAACCTCCTTCATTCAGCTTATATTTCTTTTAAGCCGATGTGCCAAGTCCTGAGGGAATATATTTATATGGTTGAAATCATTAACCAACATCATTCTTCAGCTGAAAGTGTTCCCTAATAAACCAAAGAGAAAAGCATTGAGGAAGATATCCTTGGTGTTTAGAAAATTTTCTTGAACTGAGATTAAAAGCACTGAGGCTCTTTTTCTGACAGGTAACTTTTTTTGGAACCAATTCTTTTTATGGCATTGGCATATGAGAACTCGACTAGTCCAAACGAGAAGTGATATTCGCCAATGGGCATGTTTGCTCAAATCCCATTCACACTAAGCAAATGCATGGTGAAGATTAGTTTGTAAAAAACTGAAGAAGAAATTTCAAAATTATTTCATAAAACCTTGTCAATCTAAAAATATCGATTCAAATGATATTCCCTTCTAAAATTGATAAAAACATTCTACATCAGACTCCATACAAACAAAACTACTAATAATTGCAACGTTAGTCAATGGCACAATTTACAAAACCAAAACGTGTAGGCATAAAAATCACATGCACAAGTTTAAAAATATTTTTAAAGTTAGCTTATAGGATACTGGATACAAATTAAATATTATAAATAGATTTAAATCATTTCGACATATATAAAAAAAAAAATTATAATCAGTTTTACTTGATGAAAAAACCTGAAAGTACTTATTGCCAAGTCATTATTACTGTCAAAACATAATAACAGAAAAATGTAATGGTAAAAACCATGGTTTGTAGGCAAATATTATTACACAAATAAAACTGAAAATAAATAAAAAAATAAGATTTAGTTACCAGAGGTTCCTCTCCTTCTAACCAAGACATGAAATTATGTTTTAGTAAATGTTCTTTTTGGTAATGGATGACATTCATTACTTCACCACATAAAGCACATTTAACCTTAAAAAAAAAATAATAATATATTAACTTTAAAAAACAATAATAATAAGAAAATTTGATACTCAAAGGTAATAATTATACCTTATCGTTTGGATTTTTAAGCCTTGTGGATGAATCAACTCTACCGCTTAATAATTTTCTTTTCTCAATCCTTGCCATCTGTTTGTAGGTTAGGTCATTGTCATTGAGGTAATTTGTTTCTAGGGATTCATCAGTTTCATTAACGTTGTTATCACAACCATCTTCTGAATTTATGATACGACTAATAGAAGAATCACTATTTGGGCTTCGCTCATGTGTCGGAACAATATTTGAAGTTTCTAAATTACTATCACCATTGTTAAAAGTTGTGTAATATGTTTCAGAATAATTCATCTCTCCTTTGTGTGTGAGTCTGGGTCTTACAACTTTTACTACTCTTTTTGGCCTTCCTCTCTTTTTCTTTGATACTTCTTCCTCAAGTATGTCATTGTCATCAAGCAATTCAAGGTCAGCAAAGGAATTAAAAGACAAAGATGAAGTTGTTGCATTGCCAAAAGGAGTTGAAGAGGCAATTGCTCCTAATCTCTCTCTTCCAGGTATTGTCGTAACTTCTGTTTCTAAACTATGTTTTCGAGGCCTACCAGGCCTCCTTTTTGGTGTACTCTCTGAATTCACAGATGATTCAAGAGATTTTTTTGATATATCAGATGATTCTTCACCAATGGGTAAACTATTTTTTCGCGGTCTTCCAGGCTTTCTTTTAGGTAAGCACTGTGAAGATTCTACAGGAGTTTCATTCTTGTCTTGTGATGGAAAAACAGTAAATGAATTATTTTCAGCAATGAATAACCTTTCATCTTCTATTTTCACAACAGTATGATCCAAATTATGCACAGAATTATTTCTACTATTTTCCTCAATATTTTTAAATTCTAAGCTTACTTTTCTTGGTCGACCTGGTTTTCTCTTGGGTGGAGGCTCTGAATAATCAGTTACAGAAGAAGTAACAATTAAAACATTTTGATTTAAATTATTTTTATTCTGGGCTGGATTAATATTTTGCTGGCCAATAGATAAGTGTTTTGGTGGTCTTCCGGGTTTCCTTTTTAATGGAGTTTCAATACTAACTTTCTTCTCAACTACCATGTTGTTCTTTATATCTTCCGAATGAGTAACATTACATAAACCATCTTCATTAGGATTTGAATTTAAAATACAGCTATTCAAAGAAGTCTTGTTATCACTCATTGGAATATCTTCAATATTTTTACTTTCAATGTGACATTTTTCAGCTTCATGATGTCCAATAGATAAACGTTTTGGTGGTCTACCAGGTTTTCTCTTCGGGGGAAGTTCAAAACTATTTTTCTCTTCATCTCTCAATTGATTTATACCTTCTTTAGCATGGGCGATATCAGATAAACTGTCCACATTTGAAGATGAATTCAAGAGACTGCTATTTAAAGACCTATCCATGTCTTTAACTAGGGTATTTTCAACATTTATAATTCCAAATGGATATTTTCCAATTTCCTGTTGGCTCATAGAACGTTTTGATGGTCTGCCAGGTTTCCTTTTGAATGGAGGTTCAACAATATTTTTCTCATCATCTTCCAGCTCGTGTTTGGCATATTTGGTTTTTGAAACATTAGAAAAATCTTCTTTAAAAGAAAATAAATTCAAAAAGTTCTTAGTAGAACTATCATTATCTTTAACAGAAACATTTTTATTTGACGTTTGACATACCTCCATTTCCTCTCTTCTCGTACAAAACGGATTGGGTGGTTGATCATCTTTCTTTTCAATAACTAGTTCCAAACTATCCTTTTCTCCATCCTCCAAATTTTTATTATCACCTTCAGGAGATGAAAACTCTGTATTAGAAAGTGAATCAAGATCCATGTCGTTTGTAGATACACCACTATTCTTGTTTTCTATTGGGCATTGTGTTTTCTGTTGGCACACGGATAAACATTTAGGTGGCCTACCAGGTTTTCTCTTTAAAAGAGGTTTTAAAGAATCTTTCTGATTCATCAGTAATTTATCTTCAAGCTTATATTCTACAATTTCTTTAGCCTCGTTGGAAAATATTGAACCAAGACTATTGTTAATAGAATCATTATTATCCAAAGTAGAATCCTTATTATCTGCGTATTTACCTTCAATTGGCCCTTGTTTAATTTCTTCACTGTGCAGGTATGAATTTTTTGGAGGTCTACCAGGCTTTCTCTTTTGAGGGAGCTCTAATATAAGTCTATTTTTAATTGTTACATCGACTTGAGGTTCAGAATTTATTTTTTCATTTTCAGCATGACAGAACAGAGGAAATTGGTCAGAACTTATAGGTGAATTTAAAACAAATGTGTTATGCTCAACAACACCATTGCTTAATGGACAAGAATTATGAATTTCATCATTTTCCTTTTGATCCAATATGAATTCTTGGTCATTAGCTGAAACTGATAAACGTTTTGGTGGACTATCTGGCTTTCTTTTCAATGTCGGATCTGAAAATGTTTTGTTATTCATTTCAATTTGTTTTTCAGAGACACCAACATTCACATTTCCTGGTTCATTATGAGTTGAAATGGAAGTTAATTCCTTGTCAGGTTGATTTTTTTCAATTTGAAGATGTTCATCCAAAATTAGATTGGTCTCTATTTCAATTTGTGAATTAATACCAGAGCTATCCTCCTTAGAAAATGAATTTGAAATAAGAGAGCCGTTTTTATTTCTTTCACTCTTCATAGCTGGAACACAATTAATTTCTTTGTGACCTTGATCAATTTCTCCTTTATCTTCTAATGAGCGTTTTGGTGGTCTTCCAGGTTTTCTCTTTGTTGAGGTTTCTAAGATATCTGCCATTTCCACTAAATCTCTTGGTTTATCTTCAACATTATTTTGTTCACTAAAAGAAACTGGTCCAGCTCCCAGGGTAGCAGATGAATTTAAAATAAGACTGTTACTTCCAGACTCATTTATTACTAATGAAAAATTTTTGCAACCTTCCTTTTGAAGTTCATTAGGACCTTGGAAACATATTGATGAACGTTTTGGTGGTCTCCCAGGTTTTCTCTTCAGTGGGATTTCTAAAATATCTTTTTTTTCAAGCAGTAATAGATCATTAGACTTATCAACACCTTTTCGTTCACTAACAGAAAGTGATTCAGATTCCAGGGTAGCAGATGAATTTAAAAGATTTATATTTTCAGACTCACTTGTTGCTAATGAAGAATCAAAGGTGCTATTACTTTTTTGGGAGGGCTGCTTGGATCCTTGTAAACACAGCGATAAACATTTAGGCGGTCTTCCAGGTTTTCTCTTCAATGGGTTTTCTAAAATACTTCCATTTTCCAGTAATAAATCTCCTGGTTTATCACACACATTTTTTTGTCCACTACAGGAAAGTTTTTCAGATTCCAGGCTAGCTGATAAATTAAAAAGACTTTCATTTCCATACACACTTATTGCTAATGAAGAATCGAGAATGTCATTACTTTTTTTTTTAAGCTGATTAGAGTTTTGGAAACATGAAGACAAACGTTTTGGAGGTCTCCCTGGTTTTCTTTTCAATGGGATTGCATCAAGTGTAGTTTCTATTTTCAATTTTTTCTCAGGTCTATTTTCTAAATCTTGTTTTAAAACAGATGAAGGTTCCTCATTAGTGACTGAATCAATAGTAATTTTGTTGTTTTCAGAAACAAAACTATTTTCAGTTAAATTATGTTCCTCAGCAGTTGATTTAATAAATGATTCATCATTATTAAAAAGATTAAACTCTTCCTTATCTGTGTTGCTATTTTCTCCATTCAGATAAACGGTAGAGCTAGGTTTAGTTGGAGTTGATGCTATTAGATGAATAGGATTTTTTCTAGGCCTACCTCTTTTTTTCGGTACTGACTCATTAGATGCAATTAAGGTATTGACTTTAGTTTCAAAACAACTTTCATTAGGTACTGATAAACTCGACTGATTAGAAACATGTCTTAAATCTTTAATGTCATTATATGAAGAATAACTATCCCCTTGGGTATTATTCATACATTGTGTAAAGGTTGTCAATTTTGAAGTAGAGGATTTTGATGAAACATTGATATCATTACTAGTAGTTGATATTGGTTTTTCAACAGCAGATTCAGGCGGATCATGAAGGACTAATTCATCATCATTTTCAAATTGGTATGATTCCACATCTTCAGTATTTTCTTCTTTCACTTCAAGAGTACCATTACATTGAATGGTTGGTATGGATGTTATTGTTTCGGAATGATTTTTCTTCGGCCGACCTCTTTTTCTAGATACTGATATAACAGGTGTGCTAAGGATGTTCTCTTTGTTCTCCAAAGGTATCAATGAAACATGATCTACAAAATGTTGGCTTGTATCTTCAACTTGATCTTTATATTGTAAATTTTCATCAACAATTTCATGATCAGAATTTGTTATCGAAATTGAAGTTGATCCCTGTCCTGCAGATATAGGCAGATCATTAACAATTTTTGTATCTTCATTTTCTAAAGGTTTCAATTCCTTCACGGCAGTATCACTATTGTCTTCTATCAATCTGGCATTAGCATTGAGTTGGTCAGTTGAACTGGATGTTACTACTAACTGTGATTGATTTATTTTACATCCATCTCCTTTTTTCAATACAGATTCAAGAGAGTTTTCTTTGCTGTCTAGCTCATTCAAACCTGTATCAAGTGTGCAAGTTAAAGGATTCCCATTAGGGATCAATGAAGCTTCATCAGCAGATTGATGAAACATCTCTTTAACTTCAATACATGAATCATCAGTATCATTTGCTTGGCCATCATTCATACATTGCACCAAATTAGTCAAATTTGATGGAGGTGACTTTAAGAGAACAATATTATTTTCAGTTTCATCTTCAGTGTCAACCATCAGAGCAGCCTGATTGGCTTCTTTATCAGAGTGATTAGGCAATTGATTAATTACTAATTTATCATCATTTTCCGAAAGATTTGATTCTTCTAATGCAGAATCAGTATTTTCTTTCCTATTGAGGGTATCACTAACAATATCTGTTGTTTTGAATTGGTTTTTTCTAGGTCTTCCTCTTTTTTTAGGTACTGATTCTGTAGAACCACTCTTGTTTTTCTCTTCATCTCCTACTTTCATTGAATCTATAGTCAGTTTGGACAATTTTGAATTTTTATTTAAAATCAATGAATTTTCTTGTTCTAAAGATTGGTTTATCAATTTTTTATCATTAGATGAAACTTTGTATTTAGAAACATTATCTTCTTCAAAGGATGATTCATTATCTTTACCATTTTCTGCTACCAGAAAACAAGAAATATTTTCAGCAGTGGTAATTAAATTGTGATCAATTTTATTCTTACCATCTGAAAATTCTTCACTCAATCTTCTTGATATTTCAATGGATTTCCTACGAAACTCGGTATAGTTATCATTAGATTTAAAGCCCAAGAATATGGCTTCTGAATCATTACCTGATTTGTGATTAGTAATTATTTCAGATTTTACTAGAATTACTTCTTGGGTTCTACTAGTTTTTACTTCAGAAATTTTCTTCTTAGCTAAAACGGCATTACCATTTTCTTCACTACCTTTAGCAGCTGTTAATACTTCCTTTGATAAACCATGACCTAAGGATTCTGAATGCAGAAAGCTCTTACCTTTTTTATTAGGAGGTATAATTTCATAATGCTGATTTAAAATTACCATATCATCATAATAACCAAGTTTACTACAAGCAGAAACAAAATCACTGTATTTAGAAGATGAATCAGTGCAATCTGAGAAACCTATAAATTTTTCATCTTCTTTTGATGGCTTATGACGCATTTTTGTCAAATCATTTTGTGTAGTTTTTGAATTATATTTTTTTAAGTTAGACCAATTCCATTTGTTTGATAAACTGAAATCATCTGTATTTTCCTCATTTGATTCTTGGGTATTATCACTAATACCATTTTCATTATCACAAAGGTGGATATTATTTTCATTAGAACAGGACCCATTATTTTCAGAAGAATAAAGATCCCTATTGTCATAATCAGTTTCAGGATCATAAAACAAAACTCCACCTGTAAACTCATCAATAGATAATGGATCTTTTTCACCCTTTACATCAGAGACTGTGCCCTGTAGTGAAGAGGTTGGCAAATCATTATCCAACAAAACTAACTCTTCATTGGGTTTGGCATATTCTTCTGAGACATCTTGAGAAGTATCATTGCTGTGCATACCTGATACTTCATCTTCAGTCACATTAACACCAGTATCACTCTCAAAATCATATGAAGAATTAGAAATATCTGCTTGAAAAGAATCTGATACATTTATTCGTTCATTAGAACACTTGATGCCTGAGCTATCAACAAAATCAATGTCTGGTATTATATACTCAGATTCAAATTGATTAGCGGTTTCAACACCTTCTTCTGATTTAGCAATGACAGCTTGCCGACCATTTTCTTTAATACCAAAGACTTCAATGTGAACAACTGAACCAGTTTCCTCATCAATCACTTTTTTGGGCAAAACTTGTTGATCTAATTCACTTTTTACCTTAACTTCCTTACCAAGATGGTTAATGTCTGAGAGACATAAAATATCAGTTCTTCCATTCAAAGTATTCTGGTTAACTTCTTTTTCGAGGAAATCATTTAAATTTTGATGATCGTGAGATTTGGAAAATCCAACAATCTGTGAAGGTCCCTCATTGAGAACATCATGATTTAATTCATTCTTAAATTCATTAAGCGGGTCAATTTCATTCATGGCATCTTGACCACAGGTGATGGGTACTTGTTCATTGCTGCAGAGCATTTCATCTTCTATTTCCTCAACATTAGTATCACACTGATTTAGAGTCAGATGTAAGGCGGTATTATTGACTCCAATTGACCCATCGATAAGTTTGTGAGCTCCATTATGAACTTCTGCACCAGAATATTCCAAATTGGATGGAGAGCCAGGACTGCCTATTGAATCTTGTCCATCACATTCTGACATATCAGAGTTTGATACGCCATCATCAGAATCTTCAACATCAGAGCTGAGAAATTTTGTCATATCTAAATTATCAGGACTTTTATCATTATTACTATCACCCTTCTTAAAATTGATATGGAATGGTGTGATGCGGTTTTCATTAGGATCAAATACCATTCTTACATCATTTCGAATAGAATTTTTTTTAGAGACCAATTTTAGTAGCCTATAGGATTCCTCCTTCAGGGATTTGAATAATGCTTCACGGTTTCTTGGAAATTCTGATGATGATTTCGACTGAGACACTACTGTAGTCGAAACATTGACAGTCCAATCTTTATTGTCAACTTTTATCTGCACTGGAACAGTTGAAATATTTTTGTTTTCTTTCATCATCTCATTAGCAAAAGCTTGAAGTGGTGTTGGCCAATTCTCATGGTTCCTCTTCTGAAAAAGTGGAAAATTCTTTTTTTCATTATCTTTCATACAATGTTTCTCAGTTACATATTGTGGATTAGATCTTCTTCGCTTCTTTTGATCATTCAACTTCATACCATCGTTTAACACTTTCTTTGTAACTGATGTGTCAATATCAATGATATCTAAACTGCCTTCATTAATTTTTATGATATCGCTATCATATTGGATTCCTGATCTATCTGAAACTTGTGTACAGTCTATAGAGTCAGTATTTTTTGCAGGAAATACTGGTGGAGATAATCTTACAGCAGAAGACTTCCGAGATGCTTTGTTTATGACACCATTGTACTTCTTCAAATCATTAGTTCTTCTGTCACTATCCACTTCAATGTCCTGAAATATAAATACTATTTGTAATTAAAATAATAAAATATTATTCAATTTAAATTGCAAGGTGAATCACAAAAAATATATGTCAAAAATTAAATGTCATTTAGAGCATAAAATTATTCATATTTCATATAACATGTATTGTCTATGTTTCGTACATGATCAAGGTTTTAAGGTTACCTCATTCTAAGGATCATTTAACAACAGTATATACCATTTTATAATACAAAATTACTTAATTTTTATAACACGACTTAAGTTAATTTAATATCTGACATTGACAAATGATATTTTTTTTATCTTTTTACACATATATATATATATATATATATATATATATATATATATATATATATATATATATATATGATATGGGGGAGGGATAGTTCTTGAGGTACATACCAACCAATTCTAACCAGATTAGGAAGGTCAAGATTCACTCTATGGGTCTACCACAAAATCAATTTCAACTTGCCCAGGCCAGATTCAAACCACTACTGCTACCGCTAGACTTAGAAAAAATAAAGCGGATAACGCTTGAACATGCTCGACCACCAGTCTCGTGAGAAGCTAAACAGTCAGTTATCTTAGATACAACACAATATGCCTAAAAAATCTCAAATATTTGAAAAGATTGATTTGAAGGTGACAGGATTTGTTTCCCACCTAACATTACTCAACCCGCAAATGGGAGAAAAACCAGAAGATATTAAAAATCAAATAATTAATAGACTAAGTAAAATCACGGATTATTATAGATATGACAACATTAAACAATTAACAGGTAAAACATTAATATAAGAAAAAAAAATTATACATAAAAAATGTAATATAACATTTAAAAAACAGATAGAATAGATAAATTTAATAAATCACAAATAATTTATTTTAAAATGACCTACATGCCAGAATTCAGATTAAATTAATAGATCCACTGTAGAACAAGATCACCAAAACACCAAACTTGGCTTACACAATAAAAATAATAAAGTAATATGAAACACAGGATGAATGAGACATAATTCATAATTCAGGCTATTGCACAATAAACACTAAACAACAATATGACAATGCTGGCATAGCAGTTTTAAAACCAATACTCTTTTTGAATATTCACCAATATAGGATAGAGAGCTAAATACAAAAGGCAAAACAATACCTGAGAGTCTATATTCACAACTAAAAACATTGAATGGATTGTAAATTTCAAAACTGACACAAAAATATTAACAATAACTATGCAGACATCATTAAAAAATTAAATATCACTTATAATAAACAAATAAATAGTTTTAAATATACTTTGTATAGGGCCAACATTTTCAGGTCTGTCATGTCAAGAGTTGGATAATTGATTATTCCTATTTAAAACTCACATACTAAACCAACAGAGATAATGAATATAAACAAAAGATACAAATGGCAAGTGCATCAAGGATACATGAATCCTATGTCTTACATCTTCAGTGTGAAAGAGGCTTCAAGCATCAAACCTTCGGGTTTGCTACGCCTCTTATTATTATGTACATAACTCCAGGTACAGAGATGATAGCAACATAATCAATAACCCATAGACCCTAAGGTAAGGGCCACATATTTAATTTAATTTTTATTTATTTATCTCCTCAGAATGCTGCATCCTGTTCTCTGGAAGGAAACTATTTCAAACGCGAACAAGTGGCGTATCTTTACGGCTATTGTCGAGTCCCTATTAACCTACGGATGTGAGGCATGGTCGATGAATGCTAGCTTGTAGCCAAAATTCGGACTGTAGAAATGGATTTCTGGAGAAGGTGTCTACAGTTAACGAGGCTGGAGGTGGGTTCTCCTAAACACATTCAAACAAACAAAATTCAAACCACTGAGTCCAAAATACTTCGAATTCTTATTTGAAAATTTTATTTATTTCAAATAACACCATACAGAACAACATGAATATACTAACAGTAAAATCCTATATACATAACAAACACACAACATTCCACTCTTCAAGTATTATTCACAAAAATCCACTTGCCCTCTCGCTTTCTACATCTGTTACCAGGTGAACCTCAAAGAGTACTAAAAAGCCTATGGCCCAGAGATCACCTGCTCTCAATATAGATAATTATCAAGAAAAAAGAAGATAAAACAAAGAACAACACATTTGCTAGATGCGTTGCAACGCTAATGTAAAATAAAATCAATTAAAATTTTTTTTTAAAGACCTGTTAGTTTAGAACACAATAACAAAAAGAGAAAATAATGTAGACTTCTTATTTTAAACCTTGTCACTTTTTCTAGCATATATAGCAATATTTATAGCATACATTTTTTAAATAATGATTATTTAAATAGGTAAGGTTCTAGGAAAGCAGTAACCAAAAGTTATCCTAAATTTAACAAATGAAAACAGAACAAAGAAAGGTAAAGTAATAAATATTTATTAATTATAAGGTAACATTATAAATGACAAAATACGATAGATTAAACATTTACTTCAAAATTTATACAATTTTATATTTTAATTTCATAACTACATATTACAATGTCTAGACCATACAACATGAACACTTGAGTTGAATTAAGGAATGAATATTACCAAATTAGCTGAATCATCATATTTTATTTCTAGTTGTGGTTCCTATGGGCAAAAAGTGTTCAGGACCGAGCAATCATGGAGCTTCCTTAAATTAGATATAATAAAAGTACATTATATTTCATTAAACTAATTTTGATCTAATTATTTCACAATTATTCTGTTCTATTTTTTAGTTTTATAGTTTACAACAAATACAATTGGCCTGAGTAACAAAAATCAATCAAAAGGTATCAACAACTAAAAATGTATAAATCAATAAATATAATCTTCAGGTAACGGTAATATTCACAAACTTCATATACAGGCAACACAAAAAGCAATGGATACTGTTTTTTTCCAATGATTCTTTTTTAAATTTGTGGTGATAATTAGTTTCTTTAAAGATTGTACAACAAAGCATACTGAAAACAAATCATTTTTATTAATAATAATGTATGAATAAATTCCAAAAGATAAGAAATTAATTCTTTTAAAATAAATAAGTATCCTTCTTTTTTGGCAGATTTATCTGGTAAGTGATGGCTTCCTAATAACGGGTATTACCATTGAATGTTACGGCGAAGGGACCTAATACTTTTAAGTATGGAAGAAATTACATCTTGAAAGTATTCCACTGGCCTTGGTTTATTTATATATTATATTTACATTTATATTATATAAGTGTTCCTGGAAATTGGTCAACATGTTTTTCAAAATTATTCGACAAAAGGTCTATCAACTTTATATTGGGAGGAGATCATGAAGGTGAGTCCAAAGCTCTAATTTTTATGTGCTCCAAGAATACGGAATAGAATTCTTAAAAATTGAATATGAATTCTTGCCATAGGTACATGTGAATAAAATAAAAATAAAATTCATTGCATCCAGTTTTCTTTGTAGTTGAGTATATTTAATATTTATCAGTCGTTTCACTCTCTAGGAAAGATTGAGAATTAAGCCCTAAAGTACGGATAAGAAATTATTCTAAATTAATCAAGTGGAGCCACCACCAGCACAGTTTCTGTTTACTCAAGTGTTTTTAATCTTAAAAAAAAAACTAATAATAATAATATTAAAAATATTAAACTTATGTCATTATTCACTCGCTATTATAATTAAATTACAATAGTAAATTCAAATAAAAATTTGTAAGTAGTTTAAACGGTTTTAAATATTTCATTCAAGAATCACAGGTTATGAGTCAATCAAGTAACTATACAATTTTCAATATATAACTAAATCCATTAATATACTAAACAAAATACTAGAAGACATCACAGAAAATGACTTGAAAGCATAAATTAATAAAAAAAAATTATGTTTTCTTCAATGCTTCTAAATATTGTAATATTAATTAAATTATATCACAATTAACCATATTTTCAATTGTTTTTTCATTTAAGATAGTAATCATTTTCTTTCTTTCTATAATTAATCCATATTTAGTTTAAATCTCATGTTTCCATCCTTGTTAGTTCGTTTTTTTTTTTTTTTTTTTTTTTTTTTTTTTTTTTTTTTTTTTTTTTTTTTTTTTTTTTTTTTTTTTTTTTGTATCTGTATTGTAGAATTATTTTCCTGAGAATATTTATCCTCTACTGTCTGTTCAACTCGTTTCTTGTATAAATATTTTGTCATCAACAGAGACAATTTTTTATTTTCATTGAATCAGCAATAAATTATTGAAGTGAGGATAACGAAGTGTTCTTACTTGTTGAAGGATTTAAAGACAATGGATCTAAAACAATAAGATATATTAGTTTTCAGTAATCAAATATTATGTTTATGAAAATATCAGTCTGAAAAAAAAAAAGCATGTCTCAAAAAATCACCATCATGAATAAGAGTGATATTAAATAAATTATGAAATCTGAAACTATTAGCCATTCAAAAATTAACTTTTAAAAGAGGATTAACTTTACTTTTTTAACAGTTAGACATTTAATTTACAGTTGAAACATTTATGCATTGTTCATACTAGAGAGACACAAACCAGTACATAAGTCAATATGGAAGGGTGGGGTGGTTATGATGGTTGTCAAGAAAAAACTCATTTATCTAAAGGTACTATTTTGCGACCGCAATTTCACGCTGCCAACTGCTGTTGCGTAGCTATTTCACTGAAACTGCTCACTGGGGTTGTTATAACCTGCCTATAACCTTCGAACATTTCTATTTATTTAATATCGTTTGGATTTAGGTTTCTTTGAATTTCGCTGTAAAATATTGTTGATGGAATAAATAATCTTGTTACTTCAATCTTAAAAAAAAATTGACTATTGCATTGTTTAAGTTTAAAACAATATTTCTTATAATTTTGCCAGACTTGAAAGAAACATAGGAAATAAAACGTATCAACATGACTGTTATCATCAAAACAATGCTCTGATATGATAACATAACCTACAACCACCAAACCGCCAACAGCTCCACTGCTTCAAGAGCG